ATGCATCTATCTCTACACAGAAAATTCAACGTTCATAAAAAAAAAAAGTCTGTAGATATAAACAATGATTGCATTTTACTAATGAAGGATTAAGCTTCATAAGAATATCGCCCCAAAACCCTCTGGATGTAAAGCCTTTAATCATAATAGGAAGAATTAGGTCACTGTTTTTAGGTGAATCCTCCCTTTAACGTTATTTCAGCAGCTTTGAGCGTTAGTTAACCAAGTACCAAAATACAGCAGGTGTCAATGAAGATGGATAAACACACAGCTACCTTTACTGGAGTGCATTGAGTCAACCTAAGTGAGTTAGCTAACTTACAACTGTTAGCCAAACTGATACGCACCTGAGCATTTTTATTAAACAAAGCAGAAAAAAATCACATGACTTATAGTCACTGTTGTATTAAAAAGTATTTTTTTCGAGGTGGTATTTGCAGTTCCTACTGTCAGTTCACGTTTTAACATGAATATCCCGCCGTGGTGCTTCGCGTTGCTCTCTGTGTGCTCCTTCAAAATACGTTCGTGTTGAGCAAGAAGGAGAAGGAAGGTTCCGGGGACAGACATGTGAGGCATTCAAGAAGTCAATGGTTTTTGTAACACTTCTGGATGCTCGATATGTCCGAATCAGTTTATCACGCTAAACAAATTAACTGTTCGGTGAACTACTCAATTAAGAAATGTGCATGTCTTATTATATTCTGATTTATTGAAAATAATATTCAAGCATACATTTGTGATTTTTGCTTTCAGGAATAACAAAATAATTGACCAATCGTGAAGATAAAGTTCATTTTAACATCTGAAATAAAGGGTTAAGCTTTTCATAACAGTCATATGAGTCGAGTAAGACAGGACATAATAATCATGCTACTCTGGCTGAATAAAGGAACACTGTTGACTTATGAACAGTCTGTGTAGGTGATGAGCAATAGAAACGTCAGCAATACAAATTCAAACCATTCATTTTTTATTGCCAATTCAAGGATTTTGTGTTTTTAATCAATTAAATGGATTCGTTTCCTGTTCACTTTTCCATGTATCAACTTATTTGCACAATTCTTGATTAGTCATGCTGAGTATTAATAATACAAATTGGCTCACATACAGTTTTATGACAGAAACGGACAGTAGAAAATAAATCTTTATTATTGCACACCTATACTCACTGGCACAGCAGCAGCTGGCAGGGTCACTATAAGGGGACAGATAGTCTTCCAACAGGTCTTCTGGCAGTTGAAGGAGTTAATATAGTGTTGATAACTGGTGTTGGTATTGACAAGATTGTGTTAATACCGTTAACAAAAAGTGCAAAGTGTGGTTGAGAGCCCATGCAGTACATACCCACTATCTGCAGGTGGGGCTGGTAGATTTCAATGCAGAGAGGTACGGGGCTTGCACATGAATGAGAAGTTAATCGGTATTGAGAGAGTGGAATAAATTGAACTTTGTGAAATATTTACGTTTGGAATACATACATTTTTTTGTCAATATGTAACTGAAAATTATAATACTTTGAAATACTAACCTGTGGCTCGATGTAATACAAGAATCACCTTTGATTTAATGTGACTTACCATCTAAGATAGTAACATGTGAGGACATGTTACAATATGTATGGTTAACTCAAACCTATATTCTGCTGCTATCTATACAGTAAATGCAAAGACATAGCGAGATGTAAACACGTGCAACAAATGAGGCAACCAAACAGGATCATTTTTATTCCATTTATTTTTCTAATCTTATTTCACTGCCTTACCTTTAAATTGTTCTGTTTTTACAATGACTGAAATTATAGTTCCCCAGTAACAATTAGGATTAGATCATTTGGGGGATCTTCAAAAATAATATACAGCTGTAACCAATACTGTTATAATTTATACATTTATCTGTGAAAATAGGAATAAATTTAACTTTTACAATTTCTCTTTTCTACAATATTCTCTTTTTTTAATCTTCCCATGTCACATAATGGCAAGCCATGCACTACTCCAGTAGTGATGTTTGTGCCTTCAGCAAACCTTCTTTGGACACTGGAAGTGAGCGTGAGAGAGAGTGAGAGAGAGAGAGAAAAAGTTCACAAAAATGACAATTCATATTTACAGTTTAGGTTGTTTTATAATTATAATTTAATAAACTGACAGTCACGTGGTCAGTGCTTTCCCCCGGGGCTCATTGTCAGGTTAGTTTTCGATGCAAAGTTTATGACACAGAGGCACAGTGTTGAGACTAGCAGGACAGTTTCTGTTTCCTTTCAGGGCGAACTCTTTATACGAACAGGAGGAAGTTAACGAGAGATCACGAACCCCGATAGTTAAAATCACCAGTTAAACTTGGAACATCTGTCTTTGGTCATTTTGAAAAGCAGGAGTTAAAATGGAGAAATTTTGTTGGTTAAAGTGCAGTCACCTTCAGCTCTGCTAAAAGGGAATGTTTTATCAGCTCTGTGGTCTCAATGTCTAAGTTGTTCTGTTCCGTCTAGTTAGTCGCCAAACGCACTAAAATATGAAGCAGGGAGCGAATTAAGAGAAGTATGGCCTGCTGTGTTCAAGTGTCACCCCAATTTCCTGTTTGTAATGCCAAAAGGATTCATTAAAACAAAAGAACGAAGAATTAAATCTGTCGGGGCAAACCTTCTGTCACACTGAAAGACAGGACGCTGAACTCAGCAAAGCGTTGATATGAGGTTTAAGGTGCCGCGTGTCGACATTGTGAGGTCTCACAACTTCACGAACGTAAACTATGGATATGATTTGTCAGTCAAAACGTGGGTCAAACGACTGCATCAAGAGATGTAGAATAAAAATCTGTGTTTTCATTCAGGGACCTGCCTCCATCTGGGAAGACAACAGTAGAAACTGCAGACTCGGCCATCGGTCTAAAATCACAACCCTGAGGAGGTCACAGCAACGTCAGCATTGTGAAAGAAGAGTGCCACGATCTCAACAAACGACCGCTCTGAGCAGGTCACATTCAAGCTGTTCAAAAAAAACAAAAAAACAATGTCGAGTCACCAAAGACGATGCTTCAAACGTTTTCTCTCAAGTCAATAATCCTCCCACAGATTAATCCACCGTGAACTCATCTCCCCTCAAAAAAAAAAACGATGTACAAAGATATATTCAGCAGAACAGATCACAGAGTGTGAGTCGTCGTTTGTGGCAAATGAGGAATAAATATCTGCATGTGATTTCAAACGAGAGAAAATAAAAAAGAGAAAAACAACAGATACTGTACACGCTACATGCTAAGAGAAGAATACAGGCAGCTGTCTCTCAGCATAAGACAAGAAGAAGAAATGTTCCTTTTCTTCCCGACTATAAAAATACCTAGAATCTAGAATGAGTGTAGAAAAAAACTTTACATGTACAAGTCATTTACATCCAAGGCCATTTTTCCATGGGAGTGGCAGGTGAAGAAGAGCAGTGACACAGATGTGAACAGGGTGAAAAATAGGATCTCTTCTTCGCATATTGGTGCAGAATGCCATGCTGTTGGGACGAAAAACCAACCTCCCAAGATTTACCCTTCGACTAGAAATCCGTCAAGACGTCTGGTTAGGTATCTTATGCCCAAAAGTCCAAAAGTGATGGCCGTGCGGTATCAGTCCGTAACATCTTCGAGGAAACAGATGTTGCTTCAGCAGAGGAAGTCAAGAGCAGATTTGTTTCATTCGCCCAATGTCCACTTTCTTGCCGAGCAATTATTGCCACTATTCAGCCATCTCTCTTCAGTGTTATGTTTTTATATATATATATATATATATATATATATATATATATATATATATGCTGAGCTGCTGACGGCTGATAATACAATATGTAACTGAAAATTGAACTCATCTTAAGACATGGCTGCAGAATGTAGTTTGTAGTATTCTTCAATATTTCCAATTCAATACGACATAAAAATTTGTGTGATGTGTTTTTTTCTTCTAGTGGGATGTCGCCCACACACCAGTCCCCACTCTGCTGGTGTGTCAGTCGCAACAAATCCCAGTCACTCTCAGACAGGCTTCAAAACTATCATCATTTTTTTTCGATTTGATCCCTTCAAAAACAATAATGAAATTAAAACAAAACTTAGTGCAAAGTACAACCATTTGATTATTCACATACAACTTGTCAAATGTCAGTATTCTTCAGTCTCGATAACATTTTTTTTACCGACAATAAATCACTTGTGCAGCGCAAAAAAAAAAAAAAAGAAGAAGGGTCGGTTACCTGGATAAGCTTGCTCCCCATTACTTTCACTCAGCAAGAGAACACTGGAGTCAGGTGGGCTGCACTTAAAAACACGTGACTACAATTCCCAGAATCACTCGTCAGTTTCCCTTCATGCTTCATTCAAGCGTCAGTATGAGCAAGTTATATTTTGTCAGTTAGAGCACCCAGTCTACACTTCAGTGAGATCAGCTCGAGTTATGTCAGATGGTTTTTTGCCAGGGAGTGATGGGAAATGTAGTATTTTTTATTTTATTTTCCACTTGAGGTTTCCAGCCCACCTGAGCTCCGGGACCCTGTTTCATTGTAAAACAAAAACAAAATGAGATGAAACACATTATAAACCACCCATGTTCCTTCACATTACTCGCTAGTGTCACCAAGCTGTTTTTTCAAACCTTCAAAGCTAACGCTGCGCAAAAAAATAAACAAAACGGAATAGTCAAACACCTCTCACACACACACACACACACACACACACGCGAAACCCTCCGGGCATTTCTCATCATCCACCCCCTTAGAAACGTCCCTCACTTTGGGTTCACTGGAAAAACAGTTGAGCTCGGTTAAAGGACAAACTGTTGGAGGGACTGGTAGGCAGCACCGCACGCTTTAAACACATTAAAGACTAATTGAAAAGAGGAAACTGCCGCTCCACTCTCCTGCCCAGCGCTTCATACGGCTTCGTCACATTTGAGTAAAACACGATTCAGCCTGGGTCAGGAGATCACAGCCCACATACCTCCACCGTCCCAGTTCACATAGTTAACATAGTTAACATAGCCTGTACGGCAGAATCAATGAATACTGGGATCACCTTTCATTTAAGGCCTGTTGGTGCTGTAGAATTGTCTGATTGTTGTTGTTTTTTTAGCTCAATCAAACATTGACACTTTGTTGTTTTTTTTGGGACAGGAAGATGTTTTTCCCCCCGGTTATAATACTGACCTCTTGCACACATTAACACATTCACACACTCAACAAGGGAGACTCGGGTCCCTCAAACCAAATACATGGAGGTCACCAGAACCCAAGTGTGTTCAGGAAGGGGTTAACTCATACACTCACAGACTCGAGGGATGTCTAACTGAAAAATTGCTTATTCTCTCTGACAGCCATGGACTTCTTCAAAATGTTAAATCCTTCTTTTTTTAGGGGGGGGGGAGCTGGATGAGTTGAGTGCATTGTTGTTTTTCCTACCAAAATTATTTTCACATCGTCTCCTGGTAGTTCTATTTAAGCCAAGTCTCCGATATTTTGAACAGCCCGAGGCGTCACTGTGAGCGGCCATCTGGCTGCAAAATGGTGTCTATTTGACCTCCAGGATGGAGGGGTTGCACTCCATGATGGCCACGATGATCTTGTCAATGTAGTCCTGGAGTCTGTAGTTGATCTCCTCCTGTTTGTGGACCGCCTCCATCAACTAGAAACAGAGAGACAGTGGGGTTAAAAGTGAAAACAGGGTCACGGGACAAACCCTTGTTTCACAGATTCTTCCCCGTTTCCTAAAACCCACCTCTACGCGAGACACGTTGTTGATCTCAGCTGCCAGGGAGTCGGAGAAGGAGGCCGACATCAGGTTCTTGGCTCCCTGGATGCTCAGGTTGATGATCTGGCCGTTTAACTCGTCGTTCTGCTCTTTCAGGCTGCGGTTGTCCTGGAGAGTTTATAAGTCGAATGTAAACACGTCATAAAAGAACGGTACAGGCCTGATCCTAAAACATTCGCCCATTTCCGGAATGTGCGTGCTACCTGTTTGAGTCGCTTGATCTCCTGCTCCAGCTCGGCTTCGCGGGTCCGTGTCTGATACTCCTGCAGCCCCGCGCCAGGTGTGCGCCCTCTCTTTGCTTCAGCCTCCAGCTTGTAGAGCTGTAGGTGCTCGAGCTGTTTACGCAAGTCCTCGATGAGCTGCGGCGAAATAAATCAAGTTAAGTTATTAGGAATCTCATAACGTAAGGGCTGTAGGACAAAAACCGGAACATTTAGTACATGATAAGGATGTTGTCAAACTCTACGCTGTGTTGGAATATTTTGTACACAGAGTACTGTTTATTTTGTACATAGAGAAACCAGTCCCACCTCCTGAGTGCACTCTTTCTCTTTCTGGCTCTGGTGGCGCTCGTGGCTCAGCTTGTCGGCCATCTTCCTGCGGGACTCCGTCTCCTCCTGCAACTTGTCGGACATGGCCTCTGTCTCATCCTGCAGCTTCCTCTTCTCCTGGACGGTTAAAAAAAAAAAAAAAAAGGCTGGTAAGAAATGGAACAACAAAAGGCAAAACAAACCAACAGATGGGATATTGTTGCTCTCACCTCCTCTAGTCTCTCGATGTTTGCTCGAAGACAAGGAACGCATGACCTCAGCTCACTGTTCTCCTCGTCCAGCTGCTGCAGCCTGAGAAACAAACACAGATACGCATCAGAACCCTACGTTACAGCCACAAAGGGGACACTGCTTGTTGAGAGTAAAGGACGCTGTACCACAGGGAAACGGCTTACGTTCAGTGGCAGGTTAGTGCCAGAGGGTGGCAGTGTAGAGCCACAATGAACGCATGAGACAACAAAAAGTGCAAACTTCTCAGGGTATCAAACACTGTTGTAAAGATCCAGATGCTTCTGCTCACCTGGCCTGCAGGTTTTCCAGCTCCAGCCCCCTCTCCCGCTCCAGCTTGATCAGGGCCTCCTTGTGACGACGGGTCTCCTGCTGCAGCTGCTCGTCAGCCTGGAGCTCCTGCTCCTTCAGCTGCTCCTCCAAGGCGTTGGCCCGGTGCACCAGGTGAAGGTTCTCCTGGCGCAGCCGCGTGTGCTGCTCCCCGGATGACTCAGACTCCTTTTCAAGCTCCGCCACTCGACGCTCAAGGAGGAGCACCTGGGGGAAAAGTGCATGTCTGAATGTTAGTAACGCAAAAACATCCACATGTATTGTAATGCTCCTTCTTCCTTTAACAACTACTGTTAACAGGTGACAACTGTGGCAGCTCACAAGTGTAAATAACTGGAAAAGATGCATCAGATGAGCCCTCACCTTGTCTGTGATGTCGTTGTCAGCGAGCTCCAGGATGTCCCGCGTCAAGTCGCTCATCGTGTCCAGAGTCATTGAGCTGTTCTGGAGGAGATGTCTGCACATGTAGAGGAAACAAAAACATCAATCTCTAGAGCCAGTTCACGTTTCAAAAACTCACATAGTAGGAATATAAACGTACTGAAACCAGAGTAGCTGTTTGGCTTACCTTGCTACTTTCTTGCTGGACAGCCTCTTGCCAGAACTGGATTTGGGGGGGGGGGGGGGGGGGGGGGGGGGGGGGGGGGGGGGGTAGACACACAAAACAACAGGAAAAATGGTCAGGAAGAGAAAAAGGATAAAGGAAAGAGACACCATCTCCTGGTATTCGTCCGATCCAACCCCCGTCCCTCTCTCTGCTGGCATTGGAGCCCCACAGGAAACAGGACGTATTGAGCTGGTTCGTCACTGACTAATCACATCACAACAATCCAACACAAACACAGCAGCAGAGTCTGACAAGTGCTGATTTAGGATAAGTTTTGACCCATTACAGAGACTTTAAATGAAACCTTAAATAGGAGTTTTATAGATTTCTAAATTCCTGAAAGTGAATTCTGAAGCTCTAGAATCACGACTTATTGCAAATTCAGTTGCTGAACAGATCAAATAGGATTTACGCATTACTAAGTTTCTGTAATAGAGCTACTGGTCAGTAATCCTGGATCAGCAAGTCTGTTCTGATAAAAGCAGTTTCTTTGAAGAGCTTTACTTCACTACCGGCGGTCATGTTGCAACAACACAAATGAAGCATGGGGGAAAATGACGTGGAGAACACACTGGACACCACTCACCTGTGATACCTGGGGTTATTATTTCAGATTTCTACAATCCGCTTATTGTCAGATGAGCAAAATGTTTGTTATGCACGAGTGACAAATCATAATTTGTACAGATGGCAACAATGAGAAGGAGCATGGTAGCCACTGAAATACCTTCAGTGAGTTTTTCCAATCAATGAATACCAAATGTGAAATATTAACACACAAAAAGAGAGGACTGGGAACAGTGGGCTCAAAACACACACCCACAAAATAAACCATAATGAATGTGTGAGAGTACAATGTGTAGCACACACCATGCCAGTACAACACAGTCCGCACACATTATGAGAACATGCATGGTACTGTTTCTAATCAGCACGGCAAACACGTGCACACAGCTTATAGTCGGAGTGGGTTGTGAAGGGCGGGTTACCTAGTCATCTCTAGGAAATTGAGGCGTGTGGAGAGGTCCTCCAGACGACTTATTTGTTTGTGACACTGGCTACAGAAAAAGTCCAGCGCCTCCTCCCTGAGGAAGCTCTGAAAGCGGTCAGGGAGAGGAGCGGGTGCACTGGAAAGAGGAAAACAGGGAGGAAGAGGAGGAGGAAGTGGTGAGTGACGGACAAGAAGGGGTGCACTGAGGTGGGACAGGAATACCTCTGGGGGGTTGCAGGAGGTGTTAGTGAAAATACACAGGAGAGTTTGAAAGAGTAAAGGAAGACAGCGGGAGGGAGGCGTGAGAGAGACCGCAGTGTGGCTTTGATTTGTTTTCTGTGCGGCGTAAGGAAACATAAAAAGGAGATTTTCTTTCCCTACTGCCAAACATTGTTGTCTATTCAACATCTTTGCCTAGGGTTGCAATTAAGTAAAAAAAAAAAAACCTCTCCTCACATCACCTCTGCCAGCTGATTGTTCAGTCAGGGAGCGAGTCAGGTCTGCATTATGCAACACTCTGGCACAGCTTCCTGTTTACGTAGGCGGAGACATGGCGTGGCTGACTTGGAGCGAGCGGCTGACTTGGAGCGAGTGGCACTTGACGGTCGTGTGACGATGTCGTATTGAGCCATTTGCAGCATGAAGGGTGCGATTGTTAAAGTAATGCTTGGAGCGCTGTGTGTGTTTTTGAAGAACAGACTGAGAGCCCCCCCCCCCCAGCAGTGTGTGTGTGTGCGTGTAGTCAAAGAGCTGTGATATGTAGATGGATACACGTGTGGGCGTGTGTGTGTGTAGGCAGCACTGCTACATGAGCCAACGATGAGCACGATTTGCTCAAAAACAGGGTGACGCATTCGGTCTGAGTGGGTGAAGTTTGTGGGATGTGGTAATATGTTTTTTGGGTATGATTTAGTTTTTTTGGGCCCAACCACCACCAACTTGTATGACATGTAATCACTCACATACTGCATGTAATTCACTGACTTAATTTCATTGATTTTGAGGATTCATAATCAACCCATATTTGTATTTTGTACATCCTTTGTTCACTTTGATGCGTCAAGATTGCAAAGCATTTCTAACAGTAAGGTTGTTACAGTAACCTCTTATTTCCCTATTGTCAATGAGCTACAATAACAGGGCAGTTGGTTGTTAACAGCTTCCTGGCAAATCACAGAAATATCACCCGAGTGGGAATTGCGCATTATCCGGCTTTTAGTCTCTGATGAAAACAGAGAGGAGGAGGGAGGACAAAGATGACTGGGAAAAGGCTACAAAACAAATGAGTAGCGCCACAGAGAGACGTGTGTTATGCATGTGTAGACATTTGTCCCACTGTTAAAGTCTACCTGTGTCTGTACGACTGCAGGCCAGATGCAAAGCTTGTTATATACTCCGTCTGTCCGTCCCAGAAGGCTTGGCAACAGGCGCCTCCCTTAAGACTTAACTTACATAACATTTACTCAGACTACTCGGGATCTCACAAGGGCAAATTAAAAGGAGGCACACTTTTATAGCAGGATTTAGATAGATAGATAGATAGATAGATATATAGATAAATTTGTACATTTTGTAAATTTTTATTTAGCCCAATTATCCACATTTCTAATAAGCGTTGCAACAGTGAGAGTAAGACTGATGCAGTGAACTTTGTATACACTTCATTAATGTTCGCCCTTCGCCAGAAAAGGAGGCAGATAAGGGGCGGGAAGGACGTCTCCAGATAGCTCTTATCATCGTTCGACCTCGGTGTCTTTGTCGAAAGAGAAACATTCTCTCCGAAGAACGTAAATAAGGGCATTAGAACCTGGACAGCACAGCTGAGAATGTATCACTGTCACACCTCTTATCAGGAGAGGTTGATAAAAAAGAAAGTTATAATGACATCCACATCGTTTAAATAATCTTCAGGCGATATGACTTCATGCAACATTCGAGTTCAACGTGTGAAAAGTGTAAACGTCTTTGTCAGAGGTCCTCATACCTGGGAGACAGCAGGGAGGAGCCATTGATCTGCTCAGGCGGCTCCACGAGAGAGGAGTCGCCCCCCCCCTCGGTCCCCTCCACGCCGCTCTCCAGCAGCAACTCCGAGGTGTTACTTTCCCCGAAGTCCTCAAAGTGCTCCTCCTCTCCGCCGATGACCGTCACCAGCGAGTGGTCATGTAGCTCAGAGTTCAGGGAAAACCTGAAGGGCACATAAGAATGGATTAGTGTGAGTATGTGTGTGTGTATACAACAACAGAGTAGTCTGACTGGGTATAAACAGCAACAAAACCACAATGTCAGCCAAACCAAACGAGGCCTTTTTGACATTCAAAGAAAAGAGACATGCTATGGGACCTTGACTGCAATACTGTCTGGATCACAAGTTGTTGGTGTTTTGGACCCAGAAGCCTGGAAATGACTAGAGCCTGCTGTAAAATCCCAAAACACGTACAATGAATCCCCCCCCCCCCCACGAAGAGCGCAACTGGACAAGTTGGACGATCGCTTGTCTTCAAAAGGTAATCTGTTAATTCACATTAATCCCAAACGTCTGCTTTGGCTGAAACCAAATGCTTTGTGCCTCGCTGGCAACGCTGAACCACGATGGGGCACATGTGAGAGGAACATGGTGGTAGCTTAAAGAGGGTCAAGCGTAAAACATGTTCTTCACTGCGCTGACAGAAAGGGCTGCGACTATGACTTTCATAACTGGTTGGTTATTTTAATACAACTGAAAGAAAACCTCTACAGGCTGGATCTGGAAGTCGCTGCTGTGAAGATTCTGTAAATAAAGTCTTTGATGCTCATTTTACAGGAAAGCTGGAAAGCCGGACTTTCCTGCTGTCCAACAGGATGTGCTCGATGTCTGAGGCACACACAGGACGAGGACGTCCGAATCAGCAGAAAAGCTTGCCTTCTCAGCACACAATGGCAGAACCCCATTCTGCTTGTTTACAAGACAAATGACACTCATCGGTCCAACTTTAAAGCTAAAGCATCACCTTGATTTACAGAGTGAAAACCTAAAACTGTTACACATCAAAAAAAAAAAAAAGAAGCGGTCAGGCTGCAAACGTCTCCTTTTAAGCAGACAACAATGCAGTTTGAGCTGCCGCAACGTTAAATAAACAACCAATAGTCACTTACCCTTTACTCAGGCTCTTACTACGTGGCCCCATATTGAGGTCCATCACGCAGAGGGACGGTGACGAGAGCGAACGCATCTTTGAACGCCCTCCACTGCCCTGGCGTGAAAGCCGCGGAGCAACTGGAGTCACAACACCGGACAACCAGAGTGGAATCCTGAAGTTTCACAGGGTACACCGATTTAAAACAAAAAACCCACAACTCTCCAGCGGGGAGAAAAACAAAAAGGGGGTCTGCTTTTGAAAACAGGCAAAGTCTGCGGTTCTAACGAGCTGCCTGTCAGTGCCACATGACTGACGCCGCATTGTACCGTGCCACCTGAAAGAAGCTGGAGCTGCACCAGAAAGGCTGGACTGCGAGTGGGTTAATCAGATTTGAGGCTAAGCGACGGCCGACAGACAGTCCTGCTGACCGTCCGAGGGCCAAATGTGTGTGGGGACACGGGTAAGACAGGGGAGGGTGGGGGAGGCTAATCCTGTTACATTCTTAATCCCCGGTCCAGTGCATTTACTCCGACCCTTAATAAGGCTAAAGTTAGCAGGGCTAACACACGGCAAAATCACAGTTCACACATTGACCTTTTTGTTGCATTTACTCATAGTCAACATGGAATCTCTGTGAGTAGCACATTAGTTTGAGACTTTGAAAACCCCTTAAAAGGATTGGGCATGAAGAACATGCTCATATGTTTCATAGAAGCTGATACTCTTCTGGTGAACAGAATATAAATCATAAGAGTGTTGTTGTTCCCGTCAGCAGTGGACAAGTGGAGGGGAGAGAATGAGATGAGCCCATGTCACAGAAAAAAAAAATAAAAAGGTGAAAAAAAAAAGAGCTAACTCAACACTTCCTGGAATTCAAGGCTCAATCATGGAATAGGAAGTCCAAACACATCCCCGTCAGGCAGACCGCTCCAAGCAGTCACCGAGCCGGACAGACGGGTCACAGCGTCAGCAGATAAGGCCTCGGTTCTCTCTGCACTTCCTCCCTTGTGTTGGCCCCGAGTGCTTTATCAACGAGAACATGCACGCACAGGCATAAAGACCTCATCTGCAGCAACTACCCGTCTTTAACAACAAGAGAATCTCCAACTCATCTGACGCAAATAAGACTACGTTCACATTGCAAGCCTGAGCGGTCAATTCGGATTCATTGCTCAGATCAGATTTCTTTTGCGTGAACAGAGCCTAATGGATGACAGCAGCACGGAGACAGCTCGATGCTGTGTTTCTGGTCCAAAATGATTCATTACTTTGTCATCACATGTAGTTCACTGTGGTGCTACTTTGTCTAATGTGGTAGAATTAAACGGATGAATTACTTTTACTAAAGACTCAACACTAAAGTCCGAAATAATGCCAACTCATCTTCAGAGGACTTGTGACACAGACTGATAGCTGTGCGTCAGGAGGAGAGACTCATCACATCAGCCCATTTGCAGGAGATTCAGAATGCAGCAGTAGTCAGGAAAGAGCAAATAGCCTTTTCTATTTTGACTGCTTTGAGTGGGCAGTGCTGGTGTTGATGGGGACTTAAGATAACTGGGTACTTTCCAGTGCACAAAGTTAATTATATTAATTATAAACCCATGAACATAAGAGAAATTAAAACCGACTGATATGAATCCAGGAAATATGAGCATATTGGGCCAAACATTGTGATATTCAGACCGACCTATTTCCGCCGTCTTCAGGGTCGTGCAGCGTGGCCTCGATGCCGCTGTCCGTCTCCACGTCCTCGTGCATCTCGGGCGGTACGAGGGCCCCCGTGTCCTCATCAGTGAAGGTCTCACACTCACTGTAGGTGCTCTCCGAGCCCAGGTACGCGCTGTCCGTCACCTCGTTTTGCTGCCGGAACAAAAAAACAAAACAGATCGAAAAACAAACACGTTACAGTTTGCCCATCAAGCAGTGAGCAAATACCGATCTGAATAATTCATCCGAGGTGACCACAGGGCATGAACACAAACAGAGTGTTTATACATACTGTATTATGTGATTAAAAGAATAACATGGCTCTAGAAAACTTTGCTCCAGTAAAGCAATTCAAGTAGTGCCCATCAAGCTGTTACCATCATTGTAATGATTATTTCTGGCTCTAAAAAGTCATAAGGTGTTATTTCAAACCAGGATTATTTGCAATTATGTGAAACAAAAAGGCAGCAATCACACTTACAGGTTGATCAAACAGTGTGAAAAAAAAAACCAAGCCGTTTCAAAGATGGTCTATTTTGAATATTTATAGAGCCAGTAGTTCCTGACGCCAACTACCAAACAAATCGCAGAGCACAAACAGGCTTCAGAGACAGTCTGCTGTGATTCAGATGGCTGTTCCAAGTGAAAAACCTGCTGCATCGACACCTCTAAGCAACGAGTTCAAACTAAAAGAGATTAGTTTAGACTTTCTGAGTAACAAGCACCAAATGCTCAGCACCAAACACACACATGCCAAAAAAAAAGAACATCTGAATGCTGTCAGCGACTACAGACACATTATCAGATATCAAAGGCAGGTGAGTCCTGCTGGAAAGCACAACGTACCATTATAAATGCAGCGTCGAGAGGAGAAGCAGGGCCCAGAACCATTCTCACAGCGACAGGGAGGCCAGCCTGCCGTGAGAGCTAATCACTACAAATGCCTGCTCACCTTCACTCCAACAGAGAGTACATTTGATAAAAAAAAAAAAAAAAAAAAAAAGGGAAACTACTGTGACACTTCGTTCAGCTCCGCTGGGTGGTCAGAGGGGAGGAGACAGAGACAAAGTCCAAAGAGTAGCAGAAGTCAGCTGTAATGCTCAATCAACCAGCGCTCTCAAGTTAGAACTGTCCGACTGTGAGCCAATAGAAGAGTAACATCTGTCAGTGCAGAACCTGCATTACTGTTGATGATTACGGTTGTTATTTGGTTGTATTTAGGAGTCAAAATGTGAGATGGAAATGTGAAATTTAGCAACGGAAATAAATATTTATTAAAGGAAAAGCGTGGCGGACGGGGCGTTGCTTTTCTCTCGTGCCCGGCCTCAGCCTTACCTTGTCTGTTTTGAAAGCAAACAGGTCTAGAACAGCACGGCCATTGAGAGAGAGGAACCCTCCTCTGCCAGAAACTCGGAGGGGAAAAACAAGGCCATGGACACAGGTGTGGCGTCTACCTCAAACATAAACACAAACTTCCCCCAAAAAACTCCACTTACGAGTTCCAGTAAACAGCAAAGAAACTTTAATACACCTCTGGACCTTACACATTGTTAGTGGCCATTTTTTTGTCCAATTTGTAACATTGGAATAAAACATAAAAGGAGTTTATCGAGTGATCGTATGTAACTAAACATAACATTAACAAATGCCTGATTTAATCATGAAATCATCAACTCATGAAGCGGAGGGAACTCCTTTGCACAGACTGTGGTGCATAGGACTGCACTTCTAACCCATACCGAGAGAGGGAGCCGACACTGTGCAGTGTACAACCACTAAAACAACACTCGTAGCCCTGCACTGCTCAAAGTACACACAACAGCAGAAACGTTTCAATTTTGTGGGGCTCAGCAACAATGATGGTTAAATATACACAAGTTACAGCGCACAGGAGGAAACAGGAATCCCAGATATGCGGACCACAACTGTAAAAACACGAGTCCACTCGCATGTTAAAAAAAACAAAAACAAAAACAAAAAAAAAAAAAAAAAAAAAAAAAAAAAAAAAAAACTCGGGGCACATTCCAGCTAATTCAATATTTGTCAAAGAATACTCGAAAGCCTCGCCAGCCAGATGCTGTTTAGCGTCAGCCAACCCCGGCGTGTTCAGCCTGTGGAACATTCACAGAGCGATAATGATAGCCTCTGCAAGCCACTCGGTGAATTACAGTGGGAAGAGAGTGAGAGTGCACGCGGAGTTCAGCCCTGTGAACCGTCACACTGTGCTGCTGTGTGCAACCGATGGGAACCTAACGCACAACTGGACCACATACACACAACAGTAGAGAGAGAGGCTAAGCTCTCCTGTGCAGCGCCTCACCTCGTCGTACTCCTCGGGACAGCCCACAGCTCCATCGCCTGGACTGTAGTTTACATTGTAGAGCTGCGGCTCCGGACCTGCGCATATGAGAGGGTGAAGGGGGGGGGGGTTAATGTGTGCAGAACAAACAGATAAAGTCAAACAGCGAAAAGGAGGCTCAACAGACACAAGACCGGCGTGAGCAGCACCTCTGCCCGTGTGCAAACAAACGAAGAAATGGAGAAAGAAGGCGTCACGGCAGAGTTGATAAAAATGTAGCATGCTACTACTAATAGACTGCAAATCCACCGTTACACTGATTCATTATTTGGGCATTATTTCTGAAGCGGACAGAATGATAATGAGACAGCAATCTCGGATATTGCTTTTGTTCACGCCCCGCTCTCTGGTTAACGGTGTTAAAACGTTCATCTAAATGTCTGCCAAGATCTATGACGGGACCAAGGCCGCTCCATATCTCTTCATCTGAAGGTAAACGGGTGGCTGCTACTGCAGGCCTGTGATTGTAATCATGATACATCTCATACAGTATAATACTAATGTACTGTGTAATATAATTGCATTACAACTGAATGTTTTCACACATTAATCTAATCTAATAATAGATTACAATGCGTTTGTGTTTTACTCTTAATCATGAGGACATTTTATCTGACGTTCTTTCAGATAAAGTCTTCCATTTCTCTTTGTTTTGCAAAGGAATGAATGTAACTCCACTCTTAACAGTGAATATCTGTCTTTGGCGAACTGATATTTCTGCCTGTAATGTGTTTGCTCGAGTACGCAATCAGCACATTTTAGAGTGCGAGTCCAAACGGCCCGACCACAGTCAGAAATCTCAGCGAGATGTGACCGTAAACATTATGTAACTTTTACACACTCGCATTTCAAGGCCTCATGTAATGAGTGAATGGGCAAAATAAAACAATAAAAAAGGACAAGAAGCCACCCATATCCAATTCAAATGTGTCAATACGGGCTTCTGTTGAGAGCACCTGCGATGTAACCTGAGCCAGACGAGATGGAGCCAGTGTGGCTCGTGTATCTAGTAAACAGAGCTGTGAATGGCAATGGCACCCTGCTGAGAGAATAGAACACAAACAGTGTTCTCCAGAGCTGCCAGTACACCCAAAAGGGCTGCTGTGCCCCCCCCCCCACCCCACTGAGAGGTTTTCTAGACCAACTGTTGTTGTTCCAGACATGCCACAGCCACGACAGGGGGCAAGGCATTTCCACGGCCTGCAGGCCTGTCTTTATTTAAAAAGGTATCCCTGCCAGTAAGAAGTGGCGCAGAAGTTAAGTTAAAAAGAAGGTGGAGTGCAATTAAGTTTGTATTGAAACTAGACAGCAGGTTTGGGGGGGGGGGGCTGCACTCCCCCCTTTTAACGAGCATAGTGGAATTCTGTCAGCAGCGTGTGAGTGACCTGGGACGTTACAGTAGAGGTCTGTTCTTCGCACACCAATGTCTCCCAGCGAAACATATCTGAGTCACTCTCCGTATTTCTGATTACACCAGACGAGAGGCAGGAAAAGACAGGACGGCGTGTTACGGGAACATAATGATCCCCGGCTGGATTATGACCCATGACATCATGGTTACAGGATATGAGAGTATATGCCCAAACAGGCAGATCTGTGTAATCTGACTTTACAACACAACTCGTGACACAGCGGGTGAAACAGAGAGGACGGTAAATAATTTAGGTGAATAGGACTCTCTGCCCCGAACCCTCCCGCTCTGAGAGCTTGCCAATGAGCCCATGTGCCTGTGTATCTCATGCTTTCCAGTGCATGACTTATTGATGGCGAGAGTAACCGGTGCCGTGCAAACCCAGAACGAGTGGGAAAGAGTGCTTCCAATCAATAGGCCTGTGGGGATTGAGGCAAGCGGCGCACTATCGCGGTGACGTCACCATTGAAAGTAATTTAAAGAGTTAGATTAGATTTACTGCTGAGGTGACCCGGAGACATAACTGTTAAGACAGGCTTATAAAAGGTTTCCATTTTAAGGGGAGAAATACAGCGTATGAGTCCTTAAAACTCACAGCATTCATTTTAAGGCTGGTAAAGTGGAACAGGAGGGCGGTAAAGTGGTTAAAGAGTCCGGTTAGAAAGAATTTGGGTCGGTCTTCTGCCTCTTTTCTTTTAAAAATCCCTCACGTCAGCTGAGCGATGGATGTGAACACACTGTGTTGACGACAATATTTGGCGCCGTGGGGGACGCAGAGATGTGAAGCCAGATGGTGGAGACTAAATGTAGGTGCAAGAGTTTACTGCTGAGGTTGTTGAATTAGGTTATCAGCTGATAAGTCAAAAAAGAAAAACACAAGAGATTTTTGATGTCACAAGATATTTAGTAGGTAGGTTTCACAGATCATTAAATGTGGAGCCCCCCAGAGTCTTAACAGGCCAATTGAGTCCATAAAAGGGACTTCCTACATGACATGACAGGTGTGTGTTAAGACGTGCGTCTCAGGACTCACCTCCATTGCTGATTGCAGAGATTCCGCGGTGGAAGTCTTCAAAGCTGATCACTCCCAGTCCACTGGGGTCCAAAAACTTGGTCAGATCCTTTACCTGAAGGACAAAAGAAACATTCAAATATCATCAGTTCTGCCTAGATGCTTCCGGATGATGTCATAAATTCAGTAAGGAAACTACTTTACTGCAATGTTTGCACACTGACTTCAATGGAAAAACACGTACAGAAGAACAAGTCAGTCATTGAGCTGAGCGTAAGCTACGTTAAAAACTACTAAGAACTCTTTCTTGGGGTCACTTCACTGACACGGCAGTTTTACTGCAGAATTATGTGAACTCCAGAGATTATGATTGCAGGAGCATGAAGTCAATAAAAAACGACTTCTGACCTCCTGAAGGAAATCATATTTTGCCGACATCAAGTGTTTCTGGCTTTATTGGATTCAGGGCAAGAGTGAGCTTAAAAGAAGGAATAAAAATTTTCTCGAAAGCTTTACAGACAACTCGTTAGCACCAGGGACATGTTTTTAGGTAATAAATGAACGACGCCTTGTAGAATCCTTCTTACATTAGACGTTACATTATCTTATCTTAAACGCACATTTAGTTAAAGGCATGCATGTGTATATAAATGAAGCACTACAGCCTTTGCTGCATAGACACTTTGCTGCACTCAGCTGTTAGATGAGTTACATAGTTCACCTACACGCTGTATATTCCTGCAGTCAGTCACATGGCAACAGGCGGATGTGCACTTCAGTAATTACAGGACATCGGAGCGTAATAATACATTTAGTTATCTGGCTCCCAAAGACCTAACCTGGGTACTACATATGCGTCTGTATCGGTTATTGATGGCGCCGAGCAATCCCAATCTATTTACATAATTAATGGATGAAGTTAAATGTCATCTCTCGGGCTGTCTCCCAGCATTACACACCAACCCTGTTATTACAGTCAAATTTAAAGGCGTGCAGTTGCTGACAGAATTAGCTGGGAAGGAGCCTGAGAGTATGTCGGGCGAGGTTTCTGTGGTTTCAGCTCACTTTATTCCTCGAGGAAGCGAGCACACACGATGTGAAGACAAGACTCACATTCTGTGCGTGTGTGGCTTCTGTCTTCAACACTTTTTTTGTATCAGTTACACATAAAAAACAAGTTGATCTGCTTAGAAACGCTGAGCTGTGACTCTGAGAAGGCTGAAACTCCAACAAACCCCGGGGCTTATGATCTGGGTTTGGTGAATTAAGCCCAGCTGTAGTTAGAGAGAGGAGGAGTGTTGGTTCACACTGCAACGCTAAGTTTAGTGTGCGGATGCAGGGGCTCATCCAACTGCCATCTCTGACATGCTCAACCTTTCCATGCGGTAGGTTTGCTACCGGCCGTAGGCTGAAGAAGGGTTGGGGGAGAAACCGGGTGTTTTAACTTGTGAACTGAACTTCTGACGTTCGGTTGAGGTTATAGCGGTGGGCGTTAGAATGCAGCTTTTAGTTTTCCGTTCCTCAACGGAGCAGCGCAGCTCACAGGAAGTAGTGTTGTTCCATGAAGCTGAATCAGAAACACCTCTGCTAAGTGAGGTGATGAAAACTCAGGCGACAGAGAGATGAATCATGAGCGCCTGACTCTGACAACTTCTATAACATGCGGTGAATTATTATTGTTAGTTATTGCGTCTGCAGTATGTAGGGCGGTGTACTGTAGTGACATACGACTTAATGGGCCGGATGAACCGCTGTCAGAGCCGAGGCAACCAGAGCACTATATGATGTGGAAGCGATCCATGGCCTACATCAGACTTGTTAAGCTTCTTCAGCGGTGCCGGGTCCCTCAGGTCTTGTGAGCAAAGTCTTTTTGGCTATTCCTAGGTCTAACCTAAAAACTACAGGTGAATGGGATTATAATCCAGTTGTATTTTGGCCCCCGAGACCCTGGAAAGGCCTCTCCACGGCTGTTAAACTTGCCCCCCCCCCCATGTATATTTAATTAACTTAATGTTGTTGTGTTGCAACTGCACCGGATTATCAATCTATGGTCTCTTGTTTTTGATTGTTATAATGTACATTTGACCTGCTGTCTGACTGCCTCCATTGTTTTGGGTCTCGCAACATGCTGTATAATTACAGAGTTTACTGGCATAAAAATGTACTTCTTAAAACTATTTTACAATGGTACTTTCTGGATAAGTATCTAAAATGCAAAAACACAGTGTTGTATAGATACTGTATTATGTATTGTTACAGCCCAGAGAGACACTGTTAAGGCAGATATAAAAAAAAAATTTTTTAAAAACACCAAGGCAACTCTGTCAGCCCCACAGCGGTGCGGAGCAGCGAAGGCACTGTGTGGTTTTTCTGTTTCCTCTATTTGTGTCTAATCAGTGTCGGGGCACGCCTGACCGCCTCCACACAGACCACTGTTGTGCGTAACCCCATGGAGAAGAATACGCTTTTGGTGAGAGTCTTTCCCTGGGGGGGGGGGGGGGGGGGGGTATTTCACAATAGTTCCGAAGACAAAACTCCGATAACCGTGATCATGTAAGCCTATAGCGGGGTTGGCGGTAGATGAAGAAGAATAAGGCAGAATGATCTTAGGGTATGAAAACATTAAAGCACACACATACGCAGAAAAAGTGAACTCAAGAGAGGGGACGTTTCAGGCCATGGGGACATTCCATTGTGGATTAGAGGGGCAGTACATAAAAGCAGCGGGTGATGGGGAGGGAGGCTGGCCAAAAGTAGGTTGGGAGTGTAGGCCGACACGAGAGACACGACCACAATGCGGTTCAATATGGCTTTTGTGCAGAATTGGGGTCAAAACCAGTGAGCGAAAGCAGTGAGCCGGGGTTAGAACGATCTTTTCAATCGCTGAATTCGAAGATCAGATGCCTGCCGGACATTTCTCGTTTGAGGACGACGTCCGTCTTTCAAGACACTAAAAACTACAGTAAATCAGACGGTTTCACGAGACTGACTTGACATCTAAAGACTTCAAATCAACCTTCTAATAGTTGTGAATAGTATAAAAAGGGGTTCTGCTGAGAAACCGCTTGTTGAAATGCGTTTAAAAGTTGACTTCATTTCTGCATTACATGATGCTCATATTCAAACCACAATGATGTACCTGTGTGTGTGTGTGTGTGTGTGTGTGTGTGTGTGTGTGTGTGTGTGTGTGTGTGTTTGCACTTGGTCACTATCGTTCCCTGGAATCATGCTGGAGACAACATTTGCATGCTTAGCATACAAGCACCAGCCGAACACACACATGCAAATACCTCCTGAATAACTTCCTGCTGAGGGTGACGGGTTGCTGGCATATTTGCAAAGTGGTACACAGTAATACACATGCCAGGCCTGCTCCTAGCCCCCAACTACACTATTAGAAAAGTAAATATAGATACTAAATTGTACAAAATTTCCTCTTTTAGAGGAATAGCAACTAAAGTGTAAGAGTGTAACCGTTAACAAGACTTCCACTTGGCTTCCATCCCTACCGGCAATTTAAATTTTTTATTGTTTTAAAGTGTTATTTATGGATGTCCTTATGAGTTATGACCTATGTCCTTGTGCTTTTCTCCACCACACTGCTGAGATACTTGTTTTCCCACCATGGCCCACAGTATATTTCACTAATCTGCAGGTGTGGAGGCTTTTCAAACCACTTTAATTAACCTCCAGAGGACTGAACTACGAGGACATATGAGGGCAAAGCGTATTCAAATATGAGAAGCACACATGTACTGCAAGCAGATATGAGAAGAGCGAACCATCGGCTACCTCGGCAAAAGAAACGATCTGACTTTGGCTGCGTGTCGGCCTTGTTAGATCAGACCCGACTTTACCGCTGGTCCTTGAGTTCAGCTACTGAATGCTAAAACCACGGAAAGGTTTCATGCATTATGTAACATTCCACAAATTCTGAAGATAAGTCCGTCTCCTGCGTGCTCACTTATTGCAAATGAGAAAGGCAAAACATGCCAACATGTCTCTCTGATCACGAAAGGAGGGAAATCTGAGAAGAGTTCCCTTCAAGAGCACAAATTTGCTCTTGATTCCAGATATTCGATCGCCAAAAAAGAAACAGGTAATCAATCTGCACAAATAAACAAATCTAAACAGCTGGAATCTAAACAGTACGGAGGAACAGTAGAAACGGATCACACCCATGGAATAAAACCATCTCCCCGTGTCATGTCAATGTCTCACCTTTAGCACTGCCTAGCAAAACAACAGGTGGAAATGATTTACATCACACTAACATGACAAAAGCTCCTCTAGCCCTAAAACAAGGTCATGGGCAGTTAGTTGGTGGATTGGCACCCAGACCATGGACTCCCTCTGACTCAGGGAAATACATTTCACTCTTAATCCTTCACAATTCCCCCGCTTGGGGAGCCACAGATACCTACGGCTAGACATGGGACGGGTCAGGGGCACCAGGGGCGCTTTGAACCGGGAGGGACGGGATTAAAAAGGGTTAGCGAGCCAGCGTCACACTCTGTGTGTGTGTGTGTGTGTGTGTGTGTGTGTGTGTGTGTGTGTGTGTAGTACCAACAACTAAGCATCATCACCCAAAGGCCTTGCTCAAAGTACCTCAAAAAGAGTTTTAATTGAGCTGGTTAATATATTCTTTAATTAAACATGTTGCCCCCCCGTCTAAAATCAACACAGGGACACATTTTTAGATGGATTATAAATACTGCAAGTATCTTATCTTCATGAAGAAATAGAGATCATTAAATGAGTTTAAAAAAAGATATCTCATACATGTTCATCAGGACAGTTCTGTGTGTTGCAGCTACCGGTTAGGTTGCATCATTGTTTGCATTTTACCATTATTTGCAAATGGTGTGATCACTTGCTGAAGCTGAGTCAGATTCTTGTAAACAAATAGATACAGACGAGCACGTCTGACAGGAAAAGAAACTGACGTTATTGTTACTCCGGGGACGTGAGACACGTGTCAAATGTGTATATTGTGAATTTAACTTCCGGTTGAAAACTAGACCAACGCCTGAGCCTCAAAGGATCTGGGTAATACAGTTTAGTTAATACCTTTACATAGATTAAACAACGACAAACTCTAATGCAGCAAACAGCCCCTCTTCCCCTTCACTGCTGGTATAAGTAACGGTGAAACTATTTCACTAAAGGGCCATGAGCAACACATGGGTGAGGGTCATGTGGGTGGAGTGACTTCTCCAGAGATTATCCCCAAATATGCAAATGAGACACTGAGGTTTTTTTTTTGTTTCTTTTGACATATGGAGGAGTGCTGGGCCGGACAGAATTCATTACAGCCAATATGCTTGACATATTTATCTGGATGATAACCCAAATCCTGACTCTTGGACACTCACCAAATATAGCTGACCGACTAATCCAGGCATGGTTTTAACAATACGCACGGGTATTAGCCAAATCTATCACATTGATTGTACCACATTGACTCACTTTACTTTTAAAAATAGTGACTTGCAAATAGATTAAGATCCTAACCGACTTGCAATGCTGATAGCAAAGTGACAGATAGATTTCAGTTCATTGAATTAAGCAGGCTTTTTTTGCAAGAAGCTCTCTCTCTCTCTGAGGTTCAGCAGAAAAATCTATTATAAACCATTTATATGGTTTTACACAGAGCCTCACTCAGCATGCATTACCCAGAGGCTGCTGCTGCAATCTCAAAAACAAGGACATCAACAGAAAAATAAGGCATCTCACCTGATCGGCCCCGTAGGCGGCAGCAAACTCCATGAACTCCTCGATACGGACAAAGCCGTCTCCGTCCTGGTCTAAAGCGTCGAACACAGCTTTCAGCGGGGGGACGTCTTCCTCCCTCGTATCCACAGCCGAGACCATTGGCAGTGAGTCATCTACCACCATCTTAGAGAGAGAAATGGTCTCCACAGTTTGCTCACTAGTCCATCCGGCCTCAGGAGAAGACGTGTGTAAATCCGAAACGGAGAAATCAAAAGAAGCCACTTCGTGACAATCTGCTCCTTCGAGCCGGTTCCTATCCGGCAACCTCTCCTCTTCCCTCTGTTCGGTTGCTGGATCGGGAACGCCTCCATTCTGGACACCCGGCCGGGGTTTCAAGTCCCAAGTTTCCTCGTCATGGACCTCATCCGTGGTCGAGCACGGGTCCAACGCCATTGCCCCATTCCCTTGATTTTGGGCCTCAGAACAAATATTGTCCTCCATCAAACCCGCGGACTCATTCTCCACAGAGCAGGTCTCAGTGGTGGAATCCCCCTGGACGAAGACATCTTCAGCCAGAGGCACCGTCAGCGATGGAGGTTCAGCTGATGAAGGTTCGGCTGACAGACGCAGAGCAAATGAGTCATTCTCACCTTGTCGCTCTGAAGTCACACTTCTATTTACAGTCGCTCCCGCGTGATCTACCTCTGACTCCTCTGCTGATAAATCTAACGGCACACCTGTGCAGATAACAGCGGGAGGACTGTCGGGACGCAGGCTCAGACTGCCGTCACAATCTGGAACCTCCAGGTCCAACAAAGGCACAGATCCTTCGCAGAGCTCCAGCAGTGTGTGGACTTTGTTGGGTGGGAGGCAGTTCTCAGGTAAACCTGGCTGGGTAGAGCTCCAGGTTGGAGGCAGATCAGTCACTTGATCAGGGAATAAACCTGTGTCTCTGGTTTCAAGTGACAAAGTCTCCCTCCCTGCCTCCTCCTCCTCTTGTGACAGGTCTACCAGCTCCTCACTGACACCCTGTGGGTTCGACTCACCCGAGGAGTCTGGGGGGAGCCAAGAGAGTCCATTCGAGAGGAGGTCCACCAACAGAAATGGATCCCCTGTGTTGGTAATGTCCGACAGAGAGGCTGGCACACTGAGCCCCATTAGCTCAGCCTGACTACTGAGGGTTTCCAGAGGGCCCTCTTCACGGGCAGAGCTTTTTCCAACCATATCAGTGAGTTTGGGAGAAAATAGCCACGACAAAGTGCAGTCACTCAGCTCATCAGGTCGCTTTTCTGTGAAGGACTCTATGTGAGAAGTACCACGGAGAGGAGCGTTGGGATTATTGAACTGATCTCCCTCAAACTGCAAACCACCACAGGAAAGATCAGAGATATTTATTAGGTCGTCCAGCTCTACTACCGGCTTGTCCTGGTAAACGTTTTCTTCTTCTTCACTTTGTTGGAATGTCTGCTCCTGGTCGCCGTTTCTGAAATCCAAACCTGTCTGGCCACCCTTGTTTTGACCTAGCTCACCTCCATTGTCTGAATCCAGTGGGTGAAATCCGAGAGGAAACGCATGTTCTGACTCCCACTGTGTGAGCCCCAAAGGGCCAGACAGGACGGTCGCTTCCATTTATACTTCTGTGATCGACTTTACACAAAGCTGGTGTACTATCTCACTGCTGTCGTCGAGATCCAGCTCTTACACTTTAATGCCATGTTGTTAAACGGCATCCTGCAAGCATTGATCAACGTTAGGTAGGGTTTAGAAAACAGTCAGGCAACGGATTAACAAATACTATTTGTTGTTTTAACTCCAGTAGCTGTCATCCACATCTTGGCAACAATGTAACGTAAACTCAAAATCCATTGTAATGTCTTAGCCTCGCTTACGTGTGTTGACCTACTATGTGCCTCAGCTCTGTCCTCAGATCCACGTCTGGTTGATGCCAAATGGTTCAGCTTCAGCACATCCAACGTCAACATGCTTCACCTCGGTCTGGAAGCTGGCAAATCACCGCGATAAAGTCTCAGAAAACCACCGACAGCATCTCTTCTCGTGAGCCAATTTGACAAATAAGTTAACGCGTTAAGTCGCCAGTGTATGTCAACATTAGCTTTCTTAGCCGATTATCCGATTCTTATCCAGCGCAAGCTAATTTGCCGAGGAAACGATGCGGGCAGACCTGGAACCTAAATAAACCTCGAGCTATAATGTTAAATCTCTCATAACGACACGAACAGTAATAACCTCCCACCGAACGCATGATAGCGACCAACGTTAACTCCTCCTTCGAGCATCCCACTTCTTCCGTGCCATTGGCCCAGAGACGCTGCTAGCTGACTAAGCTAGCGAAATTAGCCTATTAGCTAGCTTAACGCGCGAGCCAGTCCAGCTCGTACCCCTTCCAGCTGAACGTAACCGAAGAGTAGCCACGCTATCCCGCTGTTTAAAACGCAACTAGGGACACTGTCGCCTCCGTGATAGTCCACGGTTATGTCTTCATTTTGAAGCCGTTTTCAAAGCGACAGTCCACCTGTGTGTCCGTCAGCAGACAGGCCACACGAGTGACGAGACGAAACCTCTGCAGATTCTTCTATCGTCCTCGTCTCACAAACACTTCAGCGTCCCTCCTCGAAGCCAGTGGTGAAAGAAAAAGGGGGATGAAATACGAGCAAAAAGCTCCATCATTTGGCCGTCAGTCCACCTATGTTCATTACAGAAAGCTCTCGCATCAGCATCAGCAGCGTCCCATCCTCCTCCTCCTCCTCCAGCCGCATTCACAGCGCTGACGTTTCACGCAAGCGTACAAAACACCCCGCAGTATCGGGCTTCAGATCGGCTATCGAGCGGTCCTAGTGTTTGTGTTGGTTTCAAAACAGTGTCCTGCACTCATGTAGACATGTTTTAAGTAAGCAGCCCTTCACACAGGTTACAGTTCAGGGTCTGATAGAGGAGCCCTCATCTGCTCAATGACATTACAGCAGTAGATGTTTGCAAAGGGACCGTTTCTTTAAGCGTAACTATTATATAACACATGAACCAATATGAAATAGTTGGAGAGCTCAAGTGGACAGATATTTATTGTTTTGATGAAATAGTGACTGTTGAGTGGTTGCAAGTGTAACGTTTTGGCGCCCCCATCTGACCTGCAGAGGGTTGTTTTTCTCTCTCTTCAGGTTTGCATGCTGCATCTCATTTAATCCTTCAGAACATAATCAATATTAGTATAAGTCGCAAGAAAAGGAAAAACCCCTCAGATGTGGGGTCCCAACCCCTAGGTAGGGGGGGAACCACTAATTAAATCTACTGGATTTGCATTACCAACAGTCGTCTCCTCTCTACAGGTACAATCTAAGCCTCAGACACAATTGCATGTACATTAGCAAAAAGAACACATAACTTGCAATAGTAAACTTTTATTAATAAATCAGAGGTACTGAAAAATCACATTACATGAAAAGCATGACAATACACAGCAGTGTAATGGGTTAAAAAAAAAAAATTAAAAAAAAAATCACCAAATTGTTATATAAATTGATTTATTACTAAGATTGTAAACACATAATACAGTAGGTATACAGTATGTTAGTGTTCAACTCCTGGCACTTAGCAATACACTCTTGAAGCAGCAGTGGGTGAGATAAACCACAAACACTGGACATGTAGCATGATCAGTTCTACAGATGGCCTAAATTACTCTGTTTTCAGCATTTACTTGTCCACTTTCTTTTCAGATGACCAATAACCTGAAAGCCAATCAGAGAGACAAGTGAATTAATATAGGTTATACTGTTTTCCTGTCATTTAAACCATTTGACTTTAACTCTCTAAAAAACAGAAACAACACAACGCAGAGCACAACCACGTTCTCAGTCATACGGTCTCTCGACATGGACCTAAAGCTGCCCCTCCCCCTACACACCTGGGTCAGGAGGACAACAGAGCCCCTGTTCAGAGTTTAGCAGATTTAGAGACTATACCCAGCAGCATGGAGACGTCGTTGGCCGAGGTCAGCCACGATCCGCCGTCCGCCACCAGGATGGCTCCGGTTACATAGGAGGAGGCCCGGCTGGCCAAGAAAAGAGTGCAGTGGGCCATCTCCGTCTTGTTGCCGGCTCGCTGCAAAGGAATGGACTGGAACGCACCAGCAGCCTCCCCTCTGGGACCACCTGAGGCATTCAAAGTACAAAGAAACTCAGTGCTGTTACGCTTTTTTTGACGGACCCCTACAGGCCTGTCAAATGAAGACAAGCTTCATCAGCTCCACCCGTCATGTTCCAAATATGTCCTTTTGAATAGAGCATAACTTTATGTTATTTAACACTATTAATTATGGAAATGTAGTTATTGTCAACTGATTAGCAATTTCTATTAGCTAAAAATATCAATTATTGCTATTTTTACTGGAGCTTTCTGAGTTTAGAGTACAGCGTGTACATAATGATACAATAGTATTGCAAAAGCCATGTAACAAATTGTGACTTTGGTATTATCAGCCGATAAAAATAGCCCAAAAAGGTAAGTTTCTGGACAACCTCCCACCTGTTTCTGAGGGTTGTGTGTTTGTTTCTTACTGTAAAGAGATCAAACCGTTGTTTATAATAAAAGATACAAACTACAACAAATATTTAGTTGAATCTTTACCCAGTCTGCGGAAGCCCTCCGTGCCAGAGACAGGACCTGGCGCCACAGCGTTGACTCTCACCCCACTGGGCCCCCACTCCACAGCCAGGTGCTTAGTCATGGCATCTGGGGACAGCAGAGGCAGCACTGAGTCACCGATTCTAATTTTGATATTTAATTGCAATATCAGTAAGAAAGCTCTCACCATTTGCAGCCTTAGCAGAGCCGGCATGCACCTGGAGGCCCTGTCCCCTGTATCCAAGTGTTGCAGAGATGTTTACTATGTTGCCACCATGAGCCTGAAAACACAAATGATGGTAGACTCAAAAAAAAAAAAAATGCAATGGGTAAAAAATTAAATCTGTTTAATAGTGCAGAAGCAGCAGTTTAAATCCCCTTTAGAGACGAGGTATTCAGTAATCTCTGATCTTTACTGGCCTCTTGTGGTGACCAGAGTGAACTGCAGAGAGTGAATCTTGTTGAAAATGATTGATTAACCTAGTTGTGTTCCCTAAAATACTGTATTATCGTCATCTCAGCACAACGTATAGCTCCTTCACATGGAACTGGGACTTATTGTGTCACGCAGACAGGAAATGTACTGTACCTGGAACCACTTCTCATAAACCACCTTGCTGGTGTTGAATGTACCCATGGTGTCGATCTCCATTACCGTCTTGAAGGCATTGAAGGAGAGCGAGGTAGCCGGGCAGAGGAAGTTTCCAGCAGCATCTGTCAACAACAGCCACCGTGACTTTAACCAAAGCCATTAAAAGCTATAAATGCATTAACGATGTTACACGCACAGGTGTTACGTAGCGACGTTAACAGTTTGTAGATGGGACTAGGGTGCAAAGATAGACGATAAAGACAGATACAGCATCAGGAAAGTTGATGATTAAACTAAAATCTTTCACACTTGACCTTGTGTTCAAAAGTACACGTGTGTATATTCACGCTAGACACCTTAAAATGTATTTGCACCCATGTTGGCAGGATGCATTGTACACTGAGAAGAGTGTGAGGGTGAGAGAATGTGTGCTCCCACCACAAACACAGTGATTATCAGCACAAAAACACGTTTTTTTCGGGCTCGTTAGTAAGAGGTCACATACTGTTAATGAGGATGTCTACGCGTCCCAACTCTTTCAGCGTCTGGTCCACAGCAGCTGCGATGCTCTCAGGCTTCCTCACATCCAGACACATGGGGAGGCAGCGGCGTCCGGACGCTGCAGACAGCTTTTTAGCTGCCTAGGCAGACATTAAGGCCAATACATTAATATCTATATCCAGGTGTAAGGGATATCATTTTAGGATTGCGGAAATGATGTAAGAAGAATCACCTCTTTGAGCTTGTCCAAGTTCCTGCTTGCAATCACTGTGTCGCAGCCATGCCTGAAGGAAAATAAAGAAATATAAGAAATGTTAAATGGACTGTAGAGTGCTAGTCTTCTGACCATGTAAAGCGCTGTAACACTACACCATGCAAGGTGCCACCGGCCCATCAGGACTCTATTTAACCATTCATACACCGCAGGCACAGCTTGCGGGAGCAATTTTGGGGTTAAGTGTCTTGCCCAAGGACACATCGATTAGCGGAGCCGGGGATCGAACAGCCGATCCTCCGATTCACGCTCTAACACCGAGCCATGATCGCCCCAATAACAATATTAATGACCAAAGGCTGTATTGTGTTGATTAGAACATGAATGTTCAAGTCAAGAGCAGCAGCTTCATGTTGGGGTTAATCTGACTAGACAGCCAGGACAACAGATGCAATAACAGTGCGTGCTGCTCATTTCGCTAAAAAAATAAAAAATAAAAAATCATCCATTTGTGCCACATGAGTCAATTATTGAACTATTTCAACTTTGTCACACAAGCGAAATGATGGAAGTCTGACCGTCAGATAACAAAACCAGAAGGTTTAAAGTGCACCTACATATATCTCGCTCACACATTTGAGTGTTTTAGAGTAATAGTGATGACATACTGGTGACAGAGCATTGACTCTACATGCATATATTGTTATACTATACATGCAGCAATAATTTAAGGAGTGAAATTTGACTAAATATAGTATATTACTGCAAGATCTGGGCATGCTGTGGAGAAACAAGCAGGTTAATCCCCTCACCTCATGAAGATTTCGGCTATCCGGAGTCCAATGCCAGATCCACCACCTGTAATAAAAGCAACCTGATCCCTGAAAAATAAAGTGCAAGCCCTCAAAAGGTCACTTATTGTGGTTATTGCAGTAGCAAGCATATCAACAACACTTGCTTCCCTCACTCTAAAATCACACCAGGCAATGGGAACTACATGTAAAGGTTTCCATACGTACTTCAGCAGATCTGGACTGTAGACGTGTGTGTATGAAGCCAGGCAGTCATCGGTGCCAACATCTTCGGGCAGCGGCTCTCCTTTCCGCTGTGGCTCTGCCATGCTGATGAATAATGCGCGTTAATTAGATGCAATCAAAGCGTCATTACCGTAATCACAATGCAGTAAATGACATGGTCTGTGAATGCAGGCGGTGCGCAAAATAACAGAAACACTTTAGGATGCAATGGTACTCTGCAGCAGTTTGGTGAAGCTAATGCTTGTTGTCAGCTTTGCCTTTAACTCTCAGGAAGCAGTGAAGTTCAGTTGACATGTAGGTTAACGACAGCTAGCTACTGTCATGTTACCTTCTGAGTAAAACAAGCTAGTTCTCTCGTCCAGCTCCTCTTGGATGAAACACGACTTCCACACGAAGCAACTAACTCGGAAAGGCCCCCTCACATTTGTGCTTCAACCCGCTACTTGTGTCTTTAACAGCAGGAACTATTTGTACCTTGGACGCTAACTTTTTTGCCATCCTTGAGCGATGCATTGTGGGCAATGAAGTCCGGTCGAGGTGCGTTCAAGAGCACAAATATCTTGCAATCCTAACTTATTCTCGTTTATTTAATACAGAATATGTTATTACAGAAAGTATATGCATGAATTGGGGTTAAAAAAAACTAAAATAAATAAAAAATAATACAAATAAAAATAAAATACTGCGAGCACTGGACTTTAGAGGTCAGGATTGATTTGATTCAACCTATAGAGGGGCTGTAAAGGTCTTTGACAATCTGGAGCGCAAAGGAGAACCCAGTGAGTCTGTTGCTCATCAACAATAACATCATCCTCTAGGATGGCACCAGCGAGGGAGTCCACCGGTAAACCAACACTGAAATGAACGATCCGTGGTTTACAGTTTCAGGGCTGATGCTGATCAGTGTGCATTAGTCTGAGAGTGGCCCTTATTGATCTGTAATCTGGGATTTACTGTTGGGAAGAGCCCAGTGCAATGGATACCCGTCTGTGCACTGAGAGGTCTGAGAGTATCAGAATTGCAAGATGAGTGCTTTAGTAACTTGATTTGTTTTTCAAGAGGCCGGAGTAAACGGCAAAAGCAGAACAGTAGAAGATTCGAGGAGATGATCGTGGATGCTTTTTACACCACAGAAGGTTTTAACAGCGTGAGTTTACCGCAGATGACCTTCCAGTGTTCTGACCTTTTTCAAAGTTATAGACGTATATATATATTTATATATACGTATATATATATCCATATATTATGTTTGGGATGTGTTTGTCTACCTTCTTAACATTAGCTTCTATTATTCTAGTATATTATAGTATGCAAATCACCCACTTCATGGTGAAAATGAACTTGCATTATCTTGTTTTCATGGTAAACGTTATATTACTTATGTAGGGGTAGTTGTACTGCACTGAATTACCATGCAACATTAATACAAATCATTTTTTTTTGAAAAGCAGATAATGTTTCTATGATGGATTACCAAACTGACTTTCTTACCAAGTTCTATTAAACTAAATAAAAAGGATTCCAAGATGAAAAAAAACTTTCACAAACTTGAAACAAATCGGGATGAATGGTCAGCCTGTTGTGTACACATGATCTGTACGAAAAACTTCAGAATTATAATACTAGTCTCTAAATTGATGCCAAAAGACAGATGGCGCCATTTGTATCGTCTGCTTTAATCCACTGATAAAACTATTCGCAGTACTCTCAATATGTACCTACAGGAAACATGCAAGAGAATGCCTCTCTCTGTAAATAATATATAATATATATATAATAAATAAACATATATGGTTCAAATTAGTGAAACTTGATTCACTTGTTTTCCTGGAGGCTGTGCAGATAAAGTACGTTAAATACTGTCTGTGAAATGTTCCAGCAGGCATAAAAACAACAATGGCTAAAGAGATTTTGATTTACAGATTTTAAAAAGCTTAAATAGTCTTGTTTTATGGTGGGGATTTTAAGATTTTAGTGGCTTTTTAGGTAATCCTCCTTTCCTTTCTGTTTTTTTCCCTCAGATTAGATGTTTCTCCAAGCCCCTTCCAGTTTTAGTACACACTGTAAACCGTACTTTGGCGTTTCATTTTTACCTCTTTACTTAAGATTTTATTTAATTAGTTCATTTCTTTTTGCAGCACTCTTTATACCATCTTCCCATCGGTTTTTGAATCAATAAAAATAACTTACAAGACGATTAAGTAATTTATTTACTGGTAAAGGCTAAAACCGTGTTCAACAGTAGCATAAGAGGAGAAGAGTCATGAAGTCAACAAAACAAACAAAGTGACTCACTAACGTGAGGCTACATCCACACTGATAAGCTTCCTGTAGTTAAGCAGCAATATCTATTAAAAGGTTGTGAACGTTAGCTAACATTGGCCACCATAAGCTGCTAGTAACACCAGACAAAGTGAGGCTGTAGCAGCAAAACCCCCGAGTGTGTTGAAGTGAGTTGAGTTGTCATTTGCTAGAAACAAGTGTTATTTTCTTTTTTTCTTTAAAATGATACAAAGTCTTGCTTTTCAAGAAAAGAGTCGTTTGTCAAAGGGTGCTTGTTGAACATGTTTTAAAGAACCCTGATGCAGGAACATCAAGGCATGTACAAAAGACTGTCTTTATTCAGACAACCAGACTAAATGACTCAGACAGTAAATTGTTTCATGAGCCAGACACAGCTCAAGCAATAAAGGTCCATTATCCCCTGCCGGCCCAGTGGCCAGAGCAGGCCTACAGCCCCACAGCGGGTCCTGGACTGTGTCTCTGCTCTTGGACAGTCTGTGCAGCTTTGCTCTGGACTTCTGTTGCTGGGTTTGACTTGTCGGATTGTCCTTTCTCCTCCAGACCTACCAGCCTGCTGCTGACCTCCCACAGCCTGCGAGCTGCCTCCTCATCCAGGGCTTGGGGCGCCGGTTCCTTTTCTGTCATCACGTCATAGTACCTCCCCGTCACCCCTTCCATCTCCTCGGACACTGCCAGGTAGACGCTGGGCTGGGCCCCCAGCTCTGGGCTCTTTACCAACATGGAGAAAAAGGGACCTGTCGGGGGGGGGGTGGTGCAGGTTTAAACTCAGCAGGAATACCATGCTTTAACCATCTTTCAGATCCTATCCTTTATTAGATTTATTGGCAAATGTCAAGTGACAATCCCGGAACTTACTGGATTCATGTAGTTGTCGGTGGTATATGACGAAATGAAACGCTTACATGAATGTGCAACAATTATGTTTGTTCATATCCAAATCTGGCACACGTTGCTCTGTGGATTTGTATTATCTTTTAAATGATCTCAATAACAAACACGGTTGTCCTGTGGAGAGGATTTTTATTACCTTTGAGTGCATGTATTAACAAAACTAACTAATTGCACTATAAAAAAACAAATGTGCAATCACTGAAAAAGTAACAAGAGCGTGCATCAGCATTGGTAGCACTGGTGTACTTTGATTTCAGAGGTTTTATTTGAACTGTAATATAATCTTAGTTGATGTGATGTAGACACTTTATAATGAATGTTTTTACAGTTCAAATGTTGTGGATAGGAAACTTTTTCTAAACAGAAATACAGTCAGTTTATGTTTTATATTTCCACAGACCAAGTAGATGAGAATAGAAAACTCACTGAGTAGACCAATGCCATGTAGCAGAGCTCATACAGCCCGAGCTATTTGTTCCATGTGCATTGGGTATAAGCATTTATTGATTTCTCTAAATTCAGAATCCAATAAGAAAGCCGGATACTCACTGAGCACAGAGCTGGAGAACTGTGATTGGTGCAGACCCGTGTGCCTCCCGAGCTCCGTGGCAACAACGCCGGGGTGCGCAGCATTCACTGTGACTCCTGTGCCTGTTACACACACACACACAGCATTGTTTAAAAATATACATCCACCGGCCAATTACAAACAAGAACATAGGCCGTACTCCCTCCCACACATGCCCACATATGCATCAGCCCGTAGACTTGCCTTGTAATCGCTTGGCGAGCTCTCTGGTGAACAGAACATTGGCAAGCTTGCTCTGACAGTACGCCTGCTTGGTATCAAACTTCTTCTTCTCCCAGTTCAAGTCCTCGAAGTCAATCTTTCCAACAATGTGGGCGAGCGAGGCCATGTTGATCACTCTGCTGGGGGCGGACTCCTTCAACTTATCCAGCAGCAGGTTGGTCAACAAGAAGTGGCCTGGAGGAAGACAGAAACGACCGGGGTCAGGTAGGGATGGAGAGAGCGAGGCTTTCTTAGAATTAAAATACAGTTTAGATACATTTTCTCACAGAGAGTTGAGAAAAACCAGACACCCCCGTCTGTCTCCGTTTGCCTGCTTGTTCAGTTAAAGTCGGTACCTAAGTGGTTAACTCCAAACTGCATGTCGAAGCCATCTTCTGTCTTCCCTGCTGGACATCTCATGACTCCAGCATTGTTTACGAGTACATCCACACGCTGCTCCTCTACAAGACAATGGACTTGTTATTTAAGAAGCCGTTACTGGGTGTGCTTTGTTTCAATAACTGAACACATAACTGGAGAAGAGACAGAGCGACACGCTTTGTTTTCTCACCTCGTTTGATTCTCTCTGCAAACTCTCGAATGGATTTCACGGAGGCCAGGTCGAGGTGACAGGAGTAAACGTGAGGATTCAGGGTCTTCCCTCTTATTTCCTTTGCAGCCGCCTCGCACTTCACCATATCCCGACATCCCATAATGATCCGACCCCCTGAAAGATGCCGAAATGGGGGAAAGGAGTGTGTCATTGAGGGCAGAAGAACCGCTAAAGATTTTATAATTTGTGGGGGGTTTTTTTGCATTCAATTCAGAGTCATAATTATTTTCTCCGCACCTCTCTTGGCCAGTTCTTGGGCAGTCTCCTTCCCGATGCCCGTGTTGGCTCCTGTTATAACCACAGTCTTTCCATTGATGGTGGCCTTACTGGGACACCGGCCTCCAGTCACATGGTTCCTATGAGAATAATTAAGTTCAGTGCCATCTTATTTAATAGCACACCTCCTCTTTCAACATCACAACCAGGCGTCATGGATTTCTCCCTCAAACTGAAAAACATATCTTGTCTACCTTGTGCCAAAAACAATTGCCAAATGGGAAAGGCGGGCCACTGCAACACGGCCCCAGAACTTCAAGGGCCCAAAAGAAAGCTCAAGGCTTACTGTGTGTGAACTGGTTTGTGCTAATCTTATTATTTTAAATAAATTAAAAAATATATATATATGATTATTATATATATGAACTGATGTAATAAGGGCCTTAGTTAGGTGGAGCTATGCTTGTAATCACATGATGTAACATAAGTGAAAACACTGGTGTGGCTAGACGTAGCATGGCGTGATTGTGATTGTGTAGCATGTCCTCTTCCCAGGTTACGAGGTGGAGAGGAGGTTGTGTGGCTCAGGCTCTAGCTGTTTGTCGACACCTGGAAGCAGCGTGACGTCCTCCTGGATCCACCTATTTCCCATATCTTCACCATGTTGTCACATGGATTGTCTATATTGTAATTGTATTATGTTAGTCTATTCTATACTCTACACACACACACAACATCTATTGCAAGTCTGTCTGTCCAGGGACAGGGATCCCTCCTCAGTTGCTCTCACTTATGCTTCTTCCATGTTTGGTCGGGCTGTATAAATAAAGTTGTCATGACTGTTACACAGTTCTAACACATGGTTAAACAAAGAATTTCCTTAAGTTCACACTAGCCTTAATAACTGTGAGTGAGCGAACAGAATGACACCTTTACAATCTATTCAATACAATACAATAACGTTATAAATGCTGCCTTTGTGCAGCCTATCCATCTGTATAGCTGAGTCATGGAGGTTGTACTTTGTGGGCTTGTTGTCCTGGCTTGTGTACAGTAAGTTAGTAGTTAAGTGCTGTCTCCTCACTATGAGAACGAAGCTCAATACTAACGTTACTTACTTAATAAGTAGCTGCTAGCGTAACATGTATAGCAGCGTAACGTTACATGTATAAGCGGCAAATGTGACACAGACAAGTGTAAAATACACAGTTGCATCACGATACAGTGGGTTTATCTCTACTCACTTCAGTAAAGCAGCAGCTCCAAACACTGCTCCAAAAAAAGAGACTGGTAAAACATATCTGCTCATGGCTTCCGAATAATGCGGGCGGCATTTATAGCTTAAAAAACGTGGTTCTAACACCGTTTCCACAATTTGGTTTGATAATATACTCTCAGTGCCACAAGGTTAAGCGCGCATGTTTTTAGCGTCATCGACTGAGCGTAAAGCCCCATGGTATTGTGGGAAATGAAGTGCAGAAGGAGGCGTACGTCCAAAACAAGCAATAAACGACTTTTTAGCAACATTGTTGCATGGATTTTGTAAATAACAGGCACAGTTGTAAAAAGTACAGTAACAATGTGAGTGATTTTATATCTAGAGAATTTATTGTGTGTTTTCTGTTACTCTTTCAAAAACATCTTTACAATTAATTCTGGCGTTTGTTTTTTACTCCTGAGATGTATGAAAGTGAAGCTAACTCAGGGAATCTCTCAATTGCATTCACATTTGTCCTTGCGATCACATGTTGGGAATAAAAACGTCATGAGGACAGAATAAAACAGTCGCCCCATAATGCCTGGAGGTGCGAGGGCTGGGGTATAGTTGTGTATGCAGCATAATTTGAAGAACACAAAAACAGTTTTTCTTGTTTCTTCCTAAGTGTTGTAGATATGAGCCTTCTCTAAAAACAGAGCGGGTTGAAATAAATGTTGAATCTAACATGTGGTTCGCGAACAGCATAGAAGTCCAAGAACTTTAAGAGACCAAAGCTTGAGGCCCTGCGTTAATATCCCTCCACTATGACGATGCAGAGCAGCTAAGGACACAAAGTATGTGCACCAAGATCAATTTGAGAACAGTGAAAAAACAAGGCCACCCCCTTGCGACAAGACGTGACACATAAAAAGTAAAAACTAGGACGTGAGTCTGGTGCCTGAAAAAATAGGAGAGAGGAGGTGAGGGAGGAGCAGCCCTGCTCTATTTGTTCACACCTCAGAGGTGTGTGTCCCTGGTGTGTTTTGACCCTCCATGCTCTCAGCTGTCAGCCCACATGTGCTTTGACCTTCACTGTGATTTATGACGGGCTCTGTTTCCAAGATGACCCAAAGGGAACTCTTCGCCTCGCTGCCTGTTGGCCTCACTCTTCCGTGTGAGACACCTGAATGTCTCAAAGAGTCGCTGAAGATGCAGCTATTCAATAGCCACCCATCTCCCCAACTAAAACAAAGGGACCAGAGTGAAATTATCTTGTTTCAGGAGACAGGAAGATCATATTCCCCTTTACTATCTGTTTTTCCCTCCAAGGCTTCATTCTTCCTTCCCCCCCCCTGTGATCTGGACTGCTTGAAAACAGTTTATTTTTCACTCTTCTCAGCATGAACCTGACCTGCATCTCTTCAACGTAAATCTGGGCTTGGGGAACAGAGAAAGCAGAAAAAGGTATGCATTGACGTAAAACCAATAACTCAAAGGAATAAAAAGAAGTTGCTCAAATGTATGATATGTGACTGACGTTTGAGGGTCTGAGGGGAGATCAAGACAAGTAAAATGTCTCTTCATGAGGATCTTCATGAAGCCTTCAACCCATCGGATCAGTGGTATTTGATGATGATGCATTAAGGTTATCTCTGTCGATACTGCTTTCTCAATCCAATCTGTTCTGCTTGGCAAACGTGTCTGGCAGGAGGCCTGTTGTTAAACATGTACAGTAAAAGGGGAGCTGCCAGGGGACTGAATTCATTCAGAAGTCTTGCCTTGTTGTTGCAGGACAGTTGGCAAAGTCACCGCGTGAAGAACTTGAGGCCATAAGCTGTTGAATTATGCAAGAGAGGGGCAGCTTGTTATTCCTTCAAAGCATGAATCAAAAGTTTAAAAAAAAAAAAAAAAGCTTACAGACGCATTGGGGTTGGAAGGTTGGATGCTGCAGCCAGGCACTAGGACCCGGGACACGTGAGCGTATTAGTTTGCCAGAGGGTGGAGACGGCGAACAATAAGGGAGCTAACTGGTAGGACCAGCAGAGGAGCAAGATCTGAGACCACCACGCCCCCTCCTCACCCCCAGAGTCCCGCTGGACCGTTGGACTAAACAGACTGACCGGCAGACAGCGAGAGCAAGACGCAGAGCTGAATTTAGAGAGAGTGGGGACATGTGGGTTGGTCCACGCATGCATGAGAGCAGAGGTTTGCTGAGTTCCCTGCGTGGATGTGAGTGAATGGGTTCGCCTCAGCGCGCGTGTGTGTGTGGTGCTGAACTGGGTCATGCGGACCACTGGTGGAGCGAAAGATAAACACACACCCTCCTCCCGCTGCTTGGTGGGCGCTCAGAGGAGGGATCCCAGCCTGTGTCCTCATCTCAGCCTCCAGCATCAGATGATGCTTTGATTTATTCAGCCCCCGAAGAAAGTCACTAAGTGAAGAGCTTCTCAGGAGCACTGGGATCTTCTTGGGCGGGCAGCAGGCACAGCATCAACGGCGAGATCTCATCCGAGCTTTTCCATCCGTGAAAACAGCGAGCTTTTTTTTTAGGTTTTTAATGGACCCGCGCGTGTTTTTGAGCACCTATACCTGATTGATAAGTTCTTAAGCGAGGAGACCCATCGATCGGTTTCTTGCAGACCTCTGCGGACCAGAGCGGACCGGAGCGCAGCAGCTCTGCTCGCCGAGCGGATGCAGGACCATGGAGGAGAGAGACAGGTCGCCAGCAGGTGAGCGAGCAACCTAGACGCACCCCGAGGTGCCTGAAACCGAAAAGTCAAAGATAAAGGTTGAAAAACGATTGATTCATAAAAAATATATATATATAATTCAGATTTGTATTTGTGGATTTGAATTGTTTTCACACGTAATTCTGATGATTGTGAGCAACTTTGTGTCGTCGGAACTTTGACTCATTCTAATGGACAATATTCATATATTAATAATATATTCGCCTATTGCCCGCTATAGTCTATAATAAAAAATCAATGCCAGCAGTTATACAGCACTACAGCTGCAGGATTAACTCTAACTGGTTGCGCTGCGTCTAAATGTGTATCCTCACCCACATTCCTTCATTCATTGAAACTTTTTGGGATTCGGTCCGTGCTAAATGGACGCGAGGGCATGCCGGGGGAATCCACATTTAATGACCCTTTTATACTTTGTCCAGCGCGGACAGGTGATATCTCATCGTTAATGTCATCTAATGCATTTAAATGAGCAGCTGACTTGATAGAGCATGAGCCTGTAAAAGCAAAGCGTGGAGGCTGGTAATGGACTCTAAATGAAAGGCAACAGCAGCTAATACACACGGATATGCCATAGTAATGGCTGGGACCTTTTAAAGGAATAGTTCATCCCAAAGTCAAGCAAAACTCTGAGTCCAAATTGCTTTACCGGGAGCAGGTATGCTATTATTTCCCAAAACACTGTAAACACTGAAAATGTATACAGAGAGAAAGAGTTTAATAATCAGATATTATACTTAGCGTTCAGTTCCACCTATCAATCATCACAATTAATATACATAATGGTAGAAAATGCTGCACTTTCCAAATACAAACACACCTTAACGAGCAGACATATGCGTATAAGCCTGGGATCTTAAGTTAAAGTGGAGTCCAAAAGAAAGACCAAATCTTCCCTCAAATATTCAACCTTGAATTAATCAAAAACATCCTGGGAGTCATCCCAAACGTGACCTGCAGAGCTAATAGGGCGTCTGCCACTACGGACAACAAATAAAAGGACAGCAATCTTACGGCTTAAACAGATCCCAGAGAAGGACCCAGTCCAACAGCTGGCACATACACACCAGCTAAACCCATCACTGCCCCTCACATGGCCACAAAACTGAAAGAAAGGCACACACACATGTTTCACAATGAATACAGGCAAAATGGTGTTAAAACAACATGTTACCAACATTTAAATCAGTTCAATAAAAGGAAATCAGACTCAGCAGACACAGTGTGCTTTTGGAAATCATGGCTGCTCAGACAACAGAAATTATGCAAACATTGTCAATTAGTATATATAGAGGACATAGTCTGTGCCTTGCTGGATGGATTAAAGAAAGAACACATCACATAATATCTGCACATTAAATCCTAACCAGCAATTATTAGTGAGAAAACAGTGTTTGATTTATGTACAGTGTGTTCTTGTCTTTAAGTGTCTTGTACATTCTGTCCTATCGCTTTTGCAGCAATAACTTATAACCAGCCATTTGAGAGCGAGAGAGAGAGCGAGAGAGAGAGCGAGAGAGAGGGGGGGGGTTAATTGCAGCATCAGCAATCACCATTAGTCCATCGATTGTGGTTAGAGGCTATACTGTACGTGAGCGCGATCACAAGTCACCATATACTGTTAGTTTGTCTTGAAGTGGAGGGCGAATTGGTCGGTAAAAAAGGAGCAGTGTCCTCTTTAGCGATGCTCTTACATCATTTAGCCACACCCCCTTTTAGACCCCATTTTCTGAGCTCATAATAGAGTCACATTTCCCCATGTATTTGGCATCAAAGGGACAGAGTCTACAGCATGTGGTACTAAGAGAGGGATGCTTCAATTTAGTCTCACTTCACCCAATCCCACTCTCTCTCTCTCTCTCTCTCTCTCTCTCTCTCTCTCTCTCTCTCTCTTTCTCCGTCCCTCTCTCTTGTCACATCAAGCCTCCCAATTGGAACTTGAGGCCATTGGATTGTGAGGGAGTGTGGGTATGGTACATTATTCCATTATTGCAGTGAAATTTCACTGTGAAAATATGTTTTACAGTACATGGTTATGATGACAGATGCTCTACAGTTTCTACAAGATTGATTTATTCTGCATTGGCATGTTTGTTTTTTGTTTACCAATGTGCCTGTTTTTTTCTTTGTCGGTCATTTGTGGTCCCTGCGCAGTACTAGAGCCAACTGTCCTTCGCCTCCCATCGCTCATCTCCACTCTCAGTCATTGTTTGGATCCGTTTAACCTTGGGTTATCCCTTTCCAGGCTTTAGTTCGTCCCAGCAGGAGGCCAATGGCCAGCGGCGTTTCTGCCAGCAAGCAGCAGCGCATGGGATGTGTGGCATACAGTGGCGAGAGAGAGAGAGAGAGAGGGATGATGGGAGGGAGAGTAGAGGTGAGATAAGTCAGGGACGGGTTACCCAGCACTCGGTCCCAGCAGGGATTCTCCATATGAACAGCCGGGCCAAGCTGAGAGCAAGTGATTTGTCAAAGTGAGTGCCCGTGGCCCAGGCCGCTAGTTCACCTATCACAGCACAGCGGGAGGTTTCTTCAGCCGCGTGTTGACGGAGGCACTAAAGTCCCCCACTCACCGGCTCTGATGTTCTGTGTAAGGAAGGTGATTCCGTTTTTTTGCACCTGAGTAAGGAACAGAGTGTCCTGACAGCAACACAAGGAAGCCCATTTTGTTTTCTTCATCGTATGACAGATTGCTTTGGATGGCAGTCATTTGTTTTTATTCTATACACACTGAGACAACAAAGAGAGGGTCAGACAGATGCATGTGTGTGTCTATGCATGCAGTTGTTTTCTCTCAGTCAGTGAGAGAAACCACGTCCGTCACATCGTATTTCACTCTCTGTTTTCGCCGTGACCCAGAGGCAAGGCATGTTGGGCATTTTGACAGTAAATTGGACACAAGAGATCAGTCTTCACCCATAATGACTCTTCTGCCGAGAGCAAAGCAACTAGTCCATTAGTAATGGAGAGAGGTAGCACCGTGAAGCAGGCTCTGCAGTCTATTCATTTCTTTCATTAGTCCCTTGTTTACATTGTCGAGAACAGACAAGAGAGAGCTGTGTGTAAAGCTGCTGATATATGCTTTGTGTACATTGAAAGACATGTGTTAAAGATACAGATACAGCTTCAACTCTGTTGCCCAATTTTTGATCTTTTCCACGACCACGATTAAGCTCATCCCCTGTATGTGAACCTGTATTCATGTCTGAACCTCACCCCTACTTATGTGCTAATCAATGTCATGTCACAGTTTATTGAAAGCAAAAGTCAGGGGATCACCAAAGTCAGTGGAATTGATCGTGTGGGGGAGATCATGAATGTTAGAACAAAATTTACCAATAGCTTCCAATGGCTTCCAATAGCTCAATAGTTGTTGAGATATTTTAGTTTGGACCAAAGTGGGGGACAGATTGACCAAGCAGCATAGCAGCATTGCCATCATGGCTAAAAATAAAGCTTATCTCTGAGAACAGTTGAAACTTGTGCCACCTGAAGTCCACATTAACACCTAAACTCACAAATGTAACCCTCAGAGTTCAGAGGCCAGATCACAGCCCGAGGCTATCAAGAGACAGTCTGTGAAAAGAGAGACTGTTGTCAGCTGCATCACAGGATAAATCTCTGTTCTCATCTTCAGGTGTTTATAGAAGAAAAAGGTCAACTGCTTCTGCGGTTTAATCTCATGTGTGACACTCGCAGTCAACCACAACAGGTATCCAGACCGGCGCTGTGGTTATTAGGACGTGAAACTGGATGTTTTTCCGGGAACAACCTGGTTTTTAAGAGGGTTATACTGCGAAAGCACTCAGCTCTGTTTGAGTAATTGCTAAATGGACCGAGATTGCCAATCTGTATTTGAGGGGAATTTAGTGGCAGGAAAACAGATCATTGCTGCATCTTGCATCTGCACTTTTTAGGAATTTGAAAAAAAACAGGCTTGTTTTCAGGCTGTCATTGTTTTCTTGACTGTGCATTTTTGAGTTTATTTACTGAGATTTTTCAAAAGGTTGTCAAACACTCAAATGTCAGGGGATTTTTCATCACAATTAAAACATAAAAATCCCAAATATTGATGTTTCAAGGACTAACCTGAACAACACAAAACAATACAAGGAATAAGTGAGCAGCCCAGGGATCTGTTTGCACCAGGCAAACAGATGATTGACAGTGAGTGGGACTGGCTCAAAAAAGACATTAAAATGTGCCTCAAGCCAAAATCGTCATCTGCATGTTGAGTGGGATGCTGTTATCTTGTCTTTAGCTGTCTGAGAGGACAGGAGAGGAGCAGAGGGCAGCATGGGGGATCAGTGGGGCATGTGGCTGAGCCGTGCAGAGGCTCACAGCTGCTGCCTCTCAGAGGTAGGAGCACAAAAGGCCTTTGAGTGTCACTGTGCGACTGATACACCGGACCTCCCTGCCCCCCCAAACACTCACATACAATAATCTCCCAGAGACCACATAACTTCATCACCACACCTCCAGGGCACTGCACTGCAGTTTTTGGTTCACATTTACAGCATCATTGCAGCTATGGGGATCACAGTCCCCCAACCACTCATCACATTTCAGAACTCTTAATTCAGTTCTGCAAAGGAAATGAGTGCAAAGCACCCTGCACTGTTGGGTGTGGGGGTGCTTTTGTCTTTGTGGGAGCTGAGTAATGTGATTAAGATCCATGCTGCAAATTCTGCCCGTGGAGCTGAGTGGAAGAAGTGCCAGTAAACAAGCGCTCCCTTCGCTCTGCTTTGCCTGCCGCTGATGAAGCCTATGGGGCCATGCCGGGTGGGTTGTCAGAGGAAATGTGCTTCCAGTCCGTCTGTCTGTCCTGTTTAAATGTTTAATCACCAAACCTGGACCGCGGACCGGTCTGGATAATGATTAACTTTTGTGTTGACTCGTTGAAGGCTATACAGTGGGCACGCTCAGAATGAGTAGGCTACAATATTCATAGTCTCTTATATAAGCATCTCCATGATAAGAATCAGGAAGCAAGTGTTAGCTACAGAGATACATACAGGGGGCACTTTCTATTTGCAGAGTTTTCTTCTTCGACAAAGAGTGATGAGCCAAGAACGCCAGGCTGCAAATGGCCGCATCCTATTTTAGTTTTCGCTGTAATAGTTATATTTATCACTCTCTTCCCACAAGATAGCCGAGGAACCTCAACACCTTCGGAACAAAACCTCCTGTGCCATGTTGTCTTCAACTGTACATTTGCTATACTGCGCATTAATTTAGTGCTGCACCCCCCACAACATGCACCTGTCAGTCGACACAGACGCATTTGTGACGCTCTCGTTTAAACCAGTGGTGCTGAGAAACTGGCTGCAGGGAGACAAGAACAAAGTGCAAAGCAGTTGCCTTTGAATGATGGATGAAAAAGGCCATCAGCAAAATTGTTTGCGCTGATTTGATGCCCATTAGTGGGCCTGTGTGTGTGTGCATGCTGCGCATGATTGGATGATTACATTTGATTTTGTGTGTATGGAGGGGGGTTGAAGAGAGACAATGGGTAAGATCATTAGTGTGATCCACTAGTCATTTCCTCAAAAGGGTCCATTTTATACAGTTTGCATAATAGTTTTATTGTTTGCTCAATCACTGTGGCAGAAGCTCACCTGCACAGTCACTCATCTCTGATTTTTTATTTTTTATTTGTTGGTACATTTAGTGTGCAGCTGTATTTTCCCTCCTGGGATCAGTTTGACCTATTTCAAACTTGCCACTTCTGAAAATCAGCAATCATTTTTCTGTTGCAGTATTTCTTTTCTTATAAGCTCATAAGCAACCTCTTTTCCTCACAGCACAACTGGCTGTATCTACTGTTGGGAAATGTGTATGTATACCTCAGAGCGGTCACAGATGACCATGCCTTACCAGCATGTATATACCACGGCGCTGTCAGCTCTCTCCATTTGTTTCCATTTGTTTGTCCTTCTACCTGGTCGTATTGATTTTCCCATAGCTGTCTGGCTGTAAGTGCTGTCTGAGACCAGCCATATGTGAAAGCTGGCCAGAGTGATCTAGAGGGACAGCAGGGGGTTTAATACATTTACTGAAAGCACTTCCCATGTTGATGCCTTCCCTGAATTGATTGTATGGAAATGAAGGTCTGTTAAAGCCTCCCTGATTTAACCACGCTTTGGGACACAATGTGCCGACAAGATTATATGGATGTGTGCGCCAACTAATATAAAAATACTTGAGATGATTCTGTCATAAACACATTCAGGCATAACATTTATATCGCATCACTTTGTTTTTCTTGTAATCTATATTTTTTTTATCATTGTCACATTTTGTTCAACAAATCAAATGAATCCTATACAGATATGCAAAATAATAATAATAATGTTTGTAAAATACTCCACAAATCAAATAAATATTCCTACATTGATCTGCAGCATTATCTAATATCGCGTTCCATCATCATAGCAGATGAAAACCTGACTCTATGCGGTGTTTGCTCCTCTTCATTCAGTCTGCCCCACAGCGTCAAGGCGAGCCTGTCTCTTTCTCCGTCTGGGCCGGGACGGGTGGGCAGCGGCGGGGGCTCCCCTACATCCAAGATGGGCTACTGCGGAGGGGTGCCTGTGGAGGACATGCAGGCCCTGGCCATCGCCTCTCTGTCGGCAGCAGACATAGCCAAACAATATGAGCACATCCGTGAGCTGGGGAAGGGCACGTACGGCAAGGTGGACCTGGTGGCACACCGGACACAGGGTGAGTTGAGATCTTTAATCTTTATCTCTTGTATTAGTCTGTCTTGAGCGTCGACCATACAAGTACAAAAAAGACATTTTGGACAGCAGATTGTTCAGATCTCCACATTGTGCCAGCATTCCTCACAGCTGAAGAGAACCAGCTAAGGCAGAGCAGCATGTTGTAAAGCCTCAAGGCACAGTGCTAAGACGTTCATTTCGGCAGTTAAAAGGGTTTGTTGAGGATTTTTTTAGGGCTACTGTCTAATCCTTGCTTGTAAGTAATTCAAGGTTATAGAGCTGGTGTGGTCTGAAAGCGGAATAACGAAGCAATGTCAAGTATTGCAGAGTGAGGCTGAGAGGGCGGCAGAGATTTAAAGTGCTGCATGCGCTCAAAAGAGCCTCTGTATTTCTGCAGCTGTGCTCTTGAACAGCTGGTTGTATGTGTGTAACGGAGATAAGTTTCATTCACTGTACATGTTTATAAGAATGAATGTAGCAGCTGTCATTAACACAGGGTTCGGTAGTTGGAAACCTCTCCACTCCCTTAGAGTGTCAGGTGACACTTTCAAATTCACTGTAGGTGCTTTTCTCACTTGTTTTGGATAGTAAAACGTTGGCAATAGTTATTTGATGTATAGGTTTGATACACCAGAGCTCAATTTTGTCCATCCACATGTTTATATCTGAATTTTTCTTTTTTTTAGGCACCAAAATGGCACTCAAGTTTGTCACCAAGAACAAGACTAAGCTCAAGAGTTTCCTGCGGGAGTACAGTCTAACAGGCTCACTTAGCTGCAGCCCTTTCATAATCAAAGTCCTGGACGTACTCTTTGAGACGGAGGACAGCTATGTGTTTGGACAAGAATATGCCCCTGCCGGGGACCTTTTCGACATCATCCCCCCACAGGTAAAGCAATCATTCTTCCTTTCACCAATCCCCGTCCTCACTCAACCAGAGCTGCTCCAATCAGCCCCCATGTTCAAACAAGGCAGTTTTAACAAGCTCTCCTGGGATTGGAGCCTTATCTTTGTCCCAGTTTTCTCTCTGCGCAGAGCTCTCACTTCGCGTTAGTGCTATTCCAGTTGATGCGATGGTTGCTTGACTTCAAAGTCCTTCTAAAGACTCATTAATAATGGTTGCAGCGGAACTCAAAACTTAGACTCTTTTGTTTCAGTTTTTCTTTTTGGAGTGCATCACTTTTCAAACTGTTCTTTCATCCCACCACTCAATATAACCATCACCTACTCTTTTTCAACTCTTCTGTAACCTACTCACCACGAAGCTCTTTTTCTGGTATCACCTCTCATAGTCTCACCTCCTACACAATGTACTGTATATATTAGACTGCGTTAATCCAAATCTCTATTTGTATGCCTTTGTTTCTCCAACACTTTCCTCCTCTCTCTCTTCTTCTCAGGTGGGTCTGCCAGAGGAAATGGTCAAACGCTGCATGCAGCAACTGGGCCTGGCTCTGGACTTCATGCACAGTAAAAACCTGGTGCATCGGGACGTCAAGCCTGAGAATGTGCTCCTGTTTGACCGTGAGTGCCGCCGCATCAAACTGGCTGACTTTGGCATGACCAGACGCGTGGGATGCCGCGTGAAACGGGTGAGCGGCACCATCCCCTATACAGCGCCAGAGGTGTGCCGCGCCAGCCGTGCTGAGGGTTTCCTCGTGACCACCAGTCTGGATGTTTGGGCGTTTGGCGTTCTGATCTTCTGTATGCTGACGGGCAATTTCCCCTGGGAGGCAGCGTTGGCGGCCGATGCCTTCTATGAGGAGTTTCGACGCTGGCAGAAAGCAGGGTGTCCTGTGGGGACCTACCCGTCCCAGTGGCGCCGCTTCACTGACGATGCCTTGCGCATGTTTCAGCGGCTGCTCTCCCCCGAGCCGGAAAAACGCTGCGGAGTCAAGGACGTCTTCTGCTTCGTCAAGTACGAGCTGGTCAGCGAGCTCAGGCGCAGAGCATCTTGCCGAGCCAAGAGAGGCGAGAGGTCAAGCTCGGGAGTGTGCACTGGCAGTTGCACTTCCTCCGCGTCTTCCACTTCATCACGCTCCTCGCACAGACACCCGGAGCCCTCCACCCCTCCAGGAACATCCTGCCTGCGCCCGGCACCACTCAAACGCAGTGTCCTGTCCGACCCGCTATCTCCCAGAGAGGAGTCTGGACAACACCAGTCTCCAGGCCGAGACAAGAACAAAAGCCAGATGGTAATGGCAACTGCCATCGAAATCTGTGTGTGACCACGCGAACGTTAGCAGTGGAGACTAGATGGCTTTTCACAGTAATGACAAGCTGTGAAGAGGTGTTAATGACTACCACAGAGACTCCACTGAAAAAGAGGTAGCCTACTTTAACCATGAAAGAGAAGCTCGGGATCACATCCCCAGCTGTGGAAATGGACACCATCAATTAGCGGTACACACTTGGACAGCTTATCACTGCCATATGCCGGTTGGGTTTTGATTTGTGACCAAAGACTGCTTCCAAAGCTGAGAAGCTGTTTAAGAGTCCCATGATGTTGCTCCTCTCAGCAGCTCATCCTGCCATCCAGACATTTGTGTTTTCTGCCCATACACTGTGGTGGTGCTAATGATTCTATAATTAGATACTTCATAAAAAATGTATTCTGTCTTCTTTCACTCATCACTCAGTGTCTCTTTACTTGAGTTTATGTTACGTCTCTTTAACGGTGTTTATTTATCTCAGAGTATAAACTCCGGGGAGGCCAACACATCTGATCTGGTGATGCCGATCAGTGTGAGGCCGGTGATCCGAAGGCAATCTACGCAACCTGCCGTTTCTCAGACTTCCTGCCAACTTCCAATGCATAAAATCTGTCTTTTTTTCAAGGGAAAATGTTATTAAGAGAAAAATAAGAAAAATAAGAATCGAAACCTTTATGTAGCAGTTTGTATGAGATGTCTTCTTCATGTAGGTGACTTACATGAAGTTCTCAGAGATAGGCATCACCTCAGGACACTTCAGTAGGTAACTTCTTGTTTTATTATTAATGGCAATTCATTGACTGGCTGAAACACTCATCTGTCACTTTTGAACTGCTCCCAATGAGATTTATTTCCGGTGTAACAAAATAGAATACAGGGATTGTACATTTTATCAGTGAAAAAAAGGTGGTGAACGACGAACAAAGAAGAGGAGCAGAAATGTCTTTTTATTGTTTCTTTTCTACCTGCCTCGTGTGCTTGGATGTGTATGCGTGAGTTTCAAATCCTAAAGCACAAGATTTTTGTAAAGGAGGAGAACTCTTAGTGAAAACTACGACTCTTTATTGTAAATAATTTGATATTTCTAGGAGTGCACCATATTATCAGGTAGTTCAACTATGTAGCGGTACTCATTTTCTACAACAGGGAAAAGGGTTTTAGGGTTTTGCAGTTTCTGTTGAGGCAATGCATTGTATGTAGCAACAAAATATGACATAATGTACAGTATATCACAACAAATTAAATATATAGAAATATGATCAAGAGCCTTTCACAATGTATAACATGGTAGCGGCAGCAGTTCTCTTTTTTATTTGTATTGTTTTGGGGTTTATTGTCTGAGGTGAACCAAATTTTCTTGACACAGGTATATAACACACACATTGATGAATAGACACCACTCATTTCTGCATTCCCCTGTCACTACAATCTTATCATGAGCAACATCCATCTCCTGTGTAAAACATCATCATGCTTCCTGATTGTTAATTCTTCTCATTCCACCCAGTCTTCATTCAATCAACAAGAGGCTGCTTTGCAGTTCAACACCTTCACAGATGAATTTGCCATCATCACAAAAGGTGTTCCAATATTTGATTATCAACATGCAACATTAACACACTGCTCAGAATATGTTGTTGCACCCCGTATGCTCACCTTTCATTTAATTTGCCTCTCTCTCCCTGGGAATTCATCCAAATGTATCCCTTGAATAGCGGAGCCCAGGTGTTTGTTTTCTGTAGGGATGACCTCTGTGTCAGCTATAGATGGTCTGCGAGCTGATTGTTAATCGTTAACCAGCGTTCTGCTTCAGCTTCCAAAGAGATACTCCTAATTACGAAAGCATCTAAAAAGCAGAGTATGTTCAATGTGAATGCTTCAATGCATGCTCATTACCATTATTTTCCTTGCTTGAATTGCGTTACTCAGGTGTGTGCGTGTCCATGTCTGTGTTTGTGTGTGTGTGTGAGCGTGAATGTGTGCTTGTCTTCTCTTTATTTCCCCACTCCTCCCATGGCAGCCCATCAGCTCTGTCGCCATAGTGACAGTGCCAGTGCTCCCCTGGTTCCTCTTCTGTCCTCTTCTTGAAAATCAAGTCTAATTGAGCCCAAATGAAACAACTGGTCACCAACCCCCTCTTCCAGTCACCCACAGCTCCTCATGACAGTTGCTTAGCTTATTATACTGGATGACACATTTCTGCAGTTACACATTTTCCTGTATTTTATGAGCCAGTTCACAGACCTAAGCCTTTATCCAGTCTCATCAGGCATAATCTAAACCGTCAATGGTCCCTGTCATTTTCTTTGTCTCTTTCCATTCTTACTCTTGAGTCTGCAAAGGTATCTGATTGAGGCTGAAGACTTGTCAAGGTGATGTGTTGTATGCTGAGAAGTCGGCTGCCTCATAGGATCTGTCAAAAGGTAATCCATCAGTATGTTGTGGTGGAATATGAATTAGCCCCGCCCTACGTCTTGCTATTCGGTTTGTGGGATAACGTAGGATCTACATAGTAGAGCAAGACAGGGATTAGATGGACGGCGTGTTAAAGGTTATATACCGTAAAGCAACTCAACGTAACGCAACTCAATGCAAAACAAGTAAACATAGCGCAACTCAACATAACTTGATGCAACTTAAAGTAACTCAATGTAACATGGCGTAACATCCTACGAAACATTATGTAAAGCATCATGGCATGAGAAATCATGACATGACGTTACATGATGCCACATAACATGACGCAACTTGTCGTTCTGATGTGAGCAGCTGTGGCTTTGTTAAACATCATAGCCATTAGCATCATTAGACTACTATCAGTTGTTGCAATGTGCTTGGCAGTTTCTCATGGACTGTTATGACAGGAATTGTCGAGTTTATTGATGAGGTGTCAAATTATATCAAGTTTTGCTAACGTGCTAGAGCAGCCTTCCGTTTACCCAGATTATCCTGATCCAATGATCAATGAACTGTTTTCTGCCAGCAAGTGTTGTAGAATCTAATGTAAATACTATATGTACTGTGTCTTTAACAAAATAAAAAACGATTAACACTAAATATCCATGTGTTGAAATAAATTTATGAAGTGACACTTTATGGCTCCAGGGTATTTCTGTGGGTGTTTAGAAATACTGTGGTGGTATTTTTTTTCTGCCACTGCAGGCAAAGCTCATTCAGACCAGCTTTGTATGGTCCCCAGACTCCACATTAGATGAAGGTCAGCTTGAATCACATGTGATTTCCCGAGGCTTTGGTCTGGTTCGCCAGTGAACCCCCAGACTATTTTAATATGCCGACTTCCTTCTGAAAGCCCAATTAACACATCTGTAGATAGGAGTTATCTGCAACCCTCAAAGAGCAAATGAGTTCAAGGGCGGTTAGAATATGGCACCGAAGACGAGAACAGCAATCAGCCCACCGGCCCTTCATACTCTGCTGTTGTGTTCAGAGTGGAAGAGTTTCCTCAAGTTGTTATCAGACTGAGTTAGAACAGTGGCGGTAAGCTGTGGTGTATCTGCCACTGAGAAAAACTAATCAGTTTAGACAATGCAAGACAAAAGAAAGGTCAACCATGACACGCAGGGCTTGTGTAGTGAGTGGAAGCTTGTCCTTTGTGATAGCCTGTTCTCTGCCCTTAAAGGGCTACAGCGGTCTAGTGTCAGTGTAAGAGTCCTAATTGTGTTAGCTCAAACACACATCTGAGAAGATGGAAAATGCTGAAAAATGGAGGCATTTACTGGAGGCTACAGTTGTATTTAAAGGGTGAGGTCACCCAAATCACAAAAACACATTTATCCCATTTATCCTTTGGGATATCAATTTTTTGGTAAAAGCATACTCAATAGCAACTTTTCTTTCCAGAAACAATGTCTTATTTCTCAGGATAGCTTAGAGACATATTGTTATATTACTATCTGCATGGCTATACCAATAGGGTTAAGGTTTTTTTTTCCTCTTAATGGGCTGAAATGACCCTGTAAAGGTTAATTTAGCTGCAGCTTTCAAAAGACTGTCAGCTAAACCAAATTGGTTCCCGGCAGGCCTGGGGGAACCTGGACATTAAGCCTTTAGTAGGTGGGCAGGAGCATGGGCCGCTAAGAAAGTGATCTCGGCAGCTGTCTCCATGAGATCAAGTGTTGTATCTTCAAGTGTTAAATCCTCTTCAGTCATGCTCTCTCCACAAGGGCTAATGTCGGTAACATAAGGTGACTGTGTGACTGACGGGGCGACCGTTCACTGTTCTGACTCTTGTGACCATGATCTCTATGATGTCTCGCTTGGACAAATATTACAACATTTAGAGTAAGTAACAGTCTCCCCCGCAAAAAAAAATCCCACTCAGTTTGATGTTATCTCAGCATAAAATGTTTGACAGAAAGAAGAGGCTATCAAATCCTTGTCGATTCGCCGGAGAGTACAAATCAAAGTGAACTCGAAGAAAAATAAGAAATTCAGTAACAGTAACAGTTACAGAAAATCCTAATGAAACAAATTCATTTTAACATTTCTATGTAGCTTTTGACCTTATCCAGCTCTGTGCACGTACTATGGCTCACAATCTCTGAATTCTGCCACGCAATACTTGAAATACTGTATGTCTTTTCCAAAGCTCTTTCACACATGAAGATGTAGAAACAGAGGCATGTAATTACTGAACATGCCCGTCTTGCTGGTGAACAATAAAAAGATACAGCTGCTGTGTGCTTCACATACACCACCTAATGCGAATGGCTTCAATTCTGCTGCGTAAGTGGGCAAACATGTACAGGCGAAGCATTCTTCCGGAGGCTGAATGCACAGTAAACAAAGAACGATATTTTTAAGTTTTCCAAGCCGCATTCTGCAGAGTAATGCTATTTCCTGCTAATTTTAACACCACAGGAAACATACAGTATTAAACCTCCTGCGTCACCTCAGCTTCCTGCCTTCCTGCACCTACAGATGAATCGCTCTGAATCCACCGAATGCACCATGAACTATTCTTCCGTCCCTGATGTATTTTGCAAAAACAGCTGCAGGCATGACGCTGGAAATGCCGCCGAAGATTTGAAAGGATCTCGCATAGTGATGGTGATCTCAGCAAGGGGTTGACTGTGAAGGGATGTTCCCAGCTCCCTCAGATCTGGTATCACGCATCATGCGAAATAGTGTCTGATCTCAGCTGGAGAGCTGAGAAAAGAGAAAAGGTAAAGAGACACATGAAGAATGGCACAGCAGGAAGTGATGTGTCAAGTGGGACAAACGTGTTTGTGTGTGTCTGTTAGAGAGGGAATCACACAAGGACAAAGAGAGTATACACAAAATATTCCCAACAGTGGAGTCATTAGAAAATAACCTTATGTATACTGAATGTGCCCTTATTTTAGGTTGCTGAAAACTTCTATTCCATCAGGAACCCCTTTTTGTGTGTGTGCTGCCTGAGGTATATGGCACTAAATGTTGTCAGTGCCAGACAAGAACTCTCAGACAGTGTCATCTGCCAGCATTGCTATAGCAACTGAGAAAATCTCATCGAAGAGCTCTGAAAATCTTGTTTTAGAAACCGCACTATATTCGTTCCTATGAGAACTTACTGAGTATTTGATTGTGTGTTTCTGTTGTGCAGAAACATTTTGTCCTTTATGTTAGAGTGGGTGTTCAGCACGGATGGCTCATTAAGTTGGAGGATGCCGGTTTGGCTGTCTTTTCATCATATTTTCCCTCAAAACCCAACTGGCTACCACAAAAAGTCATCATCCAAGCACGTATCATTTTATTTTTTTCAATGACTTTTTCAAAACATCTAGAAAACCACTGAGCA